GTGATAAATACATGTGGCATTTGGCCAAGTCTTTGAAATAGACTTGCACTACACCATATAAGTTGCAACAACAACAAAAAAAAAAAAAAAAAAAGAAGAAGAAGAAGGGGGAGGTGCATCAGCATCATCAACATGAGTGTCCGCTTGGGCTTGTGAGTTGTGGCTCTGTTTAAAGTTTTGGCTCCCCCCTCCCTCCAACGACCCCTGATGGCATTTAATGTTTGCGCTTTAAAGCTGGTTTTGTTTAGTTTAGCTGTGGAACTATACAGTTGAGATAGCAAAAGCTTTTAAGGTCGTTTTACACAGCACAAAAAAACAGAGGGACAGAGATGAGCGTAATATACTACTACCATATATATATATTATGCTTATGATTGTACAAATATTACTACATAAGAAAATAATAAATCTCTTCTTCTCTGCAGCTGCATGATGCCTCTATATCCCTCCTCCAGTTTCAACAACAGTCCGGCCCCCTCATTTATTGCCTCTCCTTTCCCTGCTTTCCTATAAATCACTTTATCTTCTTTCTCCTCTGCCATTCACAGACAGACCTCTACTTCAATATTTCCTTCCTTCTTCTCTCCACCCCACCACCTCTTCTTCTCTCTCAAGTCTCATTTTCTTGTTTTTCTTTTCTTTTGTTACGTTCTTTTCTTTCTTTTTTTTTTCTCCTCTAATCCTCGGAGAATTTTTTAAAGAAGTACATATAGGACGTCCAATTCAGCAATCATTCTGACAAGGGATTTCATGTTTGGGGTCATTTTCAGAGTCTACAATTACTGATCCTCAGCTATACTCTTTGGTAAGTTCAGAACTGTTTTTGCATTCTGGATGTTGGTTTTTCAAGTTTTAATTGACCAACTGTCGTTGCCATTTTTTTCAAAAAAAATTCAATGAAGGCCTATGCCAAGTTTTTGCATTATGATTATTCATTTTTCGAATTTTAATTAATTAATTAATTGTCCTTTTACTCGAATTAAACGAAACTTAAGCCTTGCAAGGAAAAGCGATAAATAAAAATCACGATCTTATAATTATGTGACTAAATAAATGTCCATACGTGACAATTATGTTCATTATTATTTTTGTCTAAAAGTGGTTTTCTTGTTCTCTTTATTACAGCGGGATTACATTTTGGAATTGGTGAAGCAATTGAATTGGGAAAAAAAAAAAAAAGAGCCGAGATGGATGCATCGACGGTCATGATGGTTTTGTCACTTGCAGCTGCTTATTTTGTATGGTTCAGATTCATAGCCAGGTCCTGGCGGGGCCCACGATTGTGGCCCATCTTGGGCAGCCTGCCCGGATTGATTCAGAATTCTCAGCGCATGCACGACTGGATCGCCGACAACCTCCGGTCATGTGGCGGCACGTACCAGACTTGCATCTTTGCAGTTCCATTTTTAGCCCGGAAGCAAGGCCTCGTGACCGTCACGTGCGACCCCAGGAATTTAGAGCATATTTTGAAGGTTAGGTTCGACAATTACCCCAAGGGTCCCACCTGGCAAGCCGTGTTCCATGATCTACTCGGTGAGGGGATCTTCAACTCCGATGGAGACACGTGGCTGTTCCAGCGCAAGACTGCTGCACTGGAATTCACCACCAGGACGCTCAGGCAAGCCATGGCTAGGTGGGTGAGCCGGGCGATCAAGCTGAGGTTTTGCCCGATTCTTAAAGCGGCTCAAGTTCAGGGCAAGCCCGTTGACCTTCAGGACCTCCTCCTCCGGCTCACTTTTGATAACATATGCGGCTTGGCTTTCGGGAAGGACCCACAGACTCTGTCTCCTGGGCTACCGGAGAACGGCTTCGCTACGGCTTTCGATCGAGCCACAGAAGCCACTTTGCAAAGGTTTATTTTGCCTGAGTCCATCTGGAAGCTCAAGAAGTGGCTTCGGCTCGGAATGGAAGTGAGTTTGACCCATAGCTTGAAACACGTGGACGACTACATGACCAACGTGATCAACACGCGCAAGCTGGAATTGCTGAGTCAGCAGAATGGTGGCCCCCTGCACGACGATTTACTCTCCAGGTTCATGAAGAAAAAGGAATCTTACACGGATAAGTTCCTCCAACACGTGGCACTCAATTTCATCCTAGCTGGACGCGACACGTCATCAGTGGCCCTGAGCTGGTTCTTCTGGCTGGTCTGCCAGAACCCTAGGGTGGAGGAGAAAATCTTGGTTGAGCTCTGCACCGTTCTGATAGGGACACGTGGCAGTGACACTTCAAAGTGGCTCGAAGAGCCCCTGGTGTTTGAAGAGGTTGAGCGGTTGACTTACCTTAAGGCAGCATTGTCCGAGACGCTCAGGCTCTATCCATCCGTGCCCCAAGACTCCAAGCATGTAATTTCCGATGACATATTGCCGGATGGTACATTTGTTCCGGCCGGCTCAAGCGTTACGTATTCAATATACGCCGCCGGGCGACTGAAGTATGTTTGGGGCGAAGACAGCCTTGAATTTAGACCGGAAAGATGGATATCAGAAGATGGACAAAAGTTCGAACCCCATGACCAATTTAAATTCGTCGCGTTTAATGCTGGACCAAGGATTTGTTTGGGTAAAGATTTGGCATACTTGCAAATGAAATCAATAGCGGCGGCTGTGTTGTTGCGCCACCGGCTCACGGTGGCTCCCGGGCACAGGGTAGAGCAAAAGATGTCATTGACGTTGTTCATGAAAAATGGCCTCAAGGTCAATGTGCATGAAAGGGATTTGAGTCCTATATTGGCCAAAGTTGCCAAGGTCGATCACAGTGGGTTGAATCTAGGTAATGGATTCTGTCATGCAGAGGCTCCAATGCTTAATGGGGTTGATTATGGTGACGGAGCATTTGTTAATATATAATTAATATTAGGGTATGATACGACGGTCCAAAGATAATTCTTTGTGACGGACGGCCACAATCAATCAATTGATGGTCATTCGATCACTTCAAATAGGACCCACATTTCAATCTCATGGTAATCAAGACCGACCGACTTAGGGGTGCCTCTCACAACGGATTATTTATCACAAGTGTCTCTCAGTCTTTTTTTTTTTTACATTTTCCAGTTCATAAAAGTCCTGGAATCGAGAGTCAGTAACTCTAATATATATATCCTTTACCTAAAGGGAGGTGATTGTCTAACTCCTTTTTTTATCCCTTCATTTCATCTTTCGGTTTTTCTTGTTTCCAAGAGTTCAATATATTGCATTGCATTCTAATATATATATATATATGAATAAAATCTCAATTTTGGTGTAGGTTATATCTCGAAGTAAAAAAAAGTATATGGATGGTAGGCATTGCTGAACCTCTCTTGCTTAATGAATTATAAGCATTTTTATATAATGAATGCTCTTTGTTGGGTTTGGGTTCTATCCCACTAACTATTTAAAGATTGGTGTGATAAAATTCAAATCCAGCAAAATAAACGATTGGTGGGATAAAACTCAAACACATCACTCATATTATTCTCATGCTAGTATCCCTTGAAGTAAAGACTTTTAGCAAATATTTTTTTTAAAAAAAAAAAAAGAAAATTCGCTCTTAAATTCTTAATACGTTAATTAACGAATGGAGGGCTTCAAATTTTTGAGAAATTAAAACTCCAGCAGATTTGAAGTTCTTGAGCATTGAATTCTCAAAACTCTTAACAGAAAATTTCAGCTATGCACTTCATCCATCCGATTCCCATGGCTATAAGTGGGCTATTTTTTTTGTTCTTTTGCCGAATTATGCCTTTTATTTATTTTCTTTTTTTTTTATATATTCAGATGAGGAGAGTGGTCCACACTCCACAGTTAACCGTTTTTAATCATACCCAAAGATCAGCTGGCATTTATGATGATGAACCAATATATAATTTCGCAGGGAAATTCTTTGACCTACATTTCCGGTTATTAAATAGCATTTGTCCTTGCAAAATTGGCAAGGAAGGCCAGCAGCCCTTCGTTTTTGATTTGTTCGTTTCATCTCTCACATATTTAGTGGTTTCATACTTTCATAGACTTTTTGTTTTGTAGCACTGCTCATGACACAAGTCGTAATGCCACGAAAACGGTACCCACCTAAAATAAATTTATACTGACCCCTCACCACTTAAAACACCTTCCAAGAAATGTATTTATAGGTCAATAATAACAACAATAATGGCTCAAATGCCAATTCAAAACTACTGTAAATTTAAAAAAAAAAAAAATCTTCTAATGCTTGACAAATTTCCAATGTTCTTGATTCAGTTTTGGGATTATGTATTCAAGTTCCCGGAATCTTCTCTGATCTAATATATGCTTGAGAAAGGATAAGTCAATTTAATCCAATATGACGAGTACAGGGAAAATTCGATAGTTATAGCAATCATCAGGGAGGTTAATTATGTACTTTTCCCCGAGCACTTTCTTTTCGTGAGCTAGACAAAGATTGTAATAGATATCTACTTGAACAATCGATATTCCATGCTATTTTCCTTACCTTTTCTTTTCCTATTTCGTGCAAGTGATCTGCTTAGCTTTTTGACAAACGTTAAGGAAAGGCAAGGACGGACCGCTAGCTGTAATCTGCTTGCCAACATAGGTCGGATCAGTTTGCCAAGGATGGATCACTTTTTTTTTTCTTACAAAGAATCGTAAATTTGAATCTCGTCGTCGTTAATGCGAAAATTGTGTTAATGCACGACTTATAAGAATTCCTGTAAACGGCCTATTGTTCCGAGGATATGTCCTGACTTGTGGTAGTGACCGGAATCGAATCCATTTAAAATTTTTGGAACTTTTTGATTATAAAGACAAACGTTATTAAAGTCATTTATGATTAAAAAGAAAAAACTAATAACTTTTTTATTATAAATACAAACATTAGAGCCATTTATGATTTTTTTCTCAGGTGCCTTTTCAGATTTACCCTGCCATGCACACAGCCAGGAAAAATGAAGACAAAACTTGAATGAGAATCCAAAATTTGTACGGTAGCTTTTGGTTTGTCCATCAAATTTAAAGTCTTTTACTAGGTCATGCCCTTGATGGAACAGGCCTGACTGCCATTGTTACAGGTATAATTTCCTCTTCCTTTCTGTTCCCCAAAACAGCTCCAGGCTCAATTCCACGTCAACCTGATTAAACTTGGTTGCATTTGTTGAATTGCCAAATTTGAATACCACCTTCTTTTGCCCCCAGTTATTTCTGCTCCAATTTTGCTTTGTACCTTTTCTTTAAGGCAATTTTGCTTTGTACTTAACATTGATGAAGTTAGAAATTGTGAAGACACATCCATGTTCTCTACAAAACGAGAATGCGATGATACAATTGGGATTAGATTCATTCTGTATTTGATTAAAGATGCTTAATTGTAATTTCAGGGGCGTCAAGTGGCATTGGCAAGGAGGCAACAAGGGTGCTTGCCTTACGTGGGGTTCGCGTGATCATGGCTGTGAGAAATACAAAAGCTGGCTCAGCAGTTAAAGATGCAATTGTTAAAGAGATCCCTGCTGCTATAGTTGAGGTCATGGAGTTAGATCTCAGCTCAATGGCATCAGTCAGGAAATTTGCTGCACAATACAATGCTACGGGTCTTCCACTGAACATTCTCATGTGAGAGCGTCTTAGTCACAATCAATATAACCTTAGAAGTTTCCGTACAAGCATTTTTTTTGGATATATCTTGTTCAAAATCGATTATAGCCCTGTACTTTTAGAAACTATTTTATACTCGGAACTTAACTGATTGAAAATGTCCATCCATTTCTGACAGCAATAATGCAGGAGTTATGGTTTCTAAATTTAATCTTTCTAAGGATGACATTGAACTCCATTTTGCAACTAATTATTTGGGTAAGCCTGTCATTCACCAACTGCTTGATTCTCATTGACTATTATTTGGAGGAGAATGAATTTCTTAGTTGCATATAGGTTAAATACTGTCTCAGAACTAATTATTAATCACTTTTTTGCAGGCCATTTTCTCTTAACAAACTTGTTGCTAGATGTAATGAAAAGTACAGCAGCAGAGAGCAATGTAGAAGGAAGGATTGTGGTTGTTTCGTCATTAGGTCATCGGTTCGTGTACAAAGAAGGGATACAATTTGATAAAATCAACGTTGATACCCGGTAGGTAATCGCGGCATGCACCCCCATATTTCTATCCATGTAGTTAGCCGTTCAAAGATACTTTCGTTAATACTTACTAGAACAGAAATTTTTTTCTTGATCTTTCTAATTTCAGGTTCAAATATGGGCAATCAAAGCTTGCCAATATACTGCATGCTGTTGAGCTCTCAAGACGCTTGAAGGTACTCTATTATCTGTGGTTCCAGAAGACATCCCAGCTCTACTTCGTTTTCTTATTCACTTTGCCCTCCAAATTTTATTTTTTCCCATTTCAATCAGGAAGAAGGGATTCCAGTAATTGTTAATTCAGTTCATCCAGGATCCGTTGTTACTGATCTTCTGCGCAATAGCAGCATTCTCTCTGGTATTTCTTTCTCTGTCAACTATAAACAGTACTTAACCAACCAACACACTTCTTATCGTAGGTGTTGTCAAACATTTCATTTCATCGAAACTAGGATCATTCTTACATAATATACAGAACCAGAATATCCAGTAATTGTTTAGGGGCGCTCGAACACGGTCCTGTCCCTCGTTACATTTATAATATAATTTGACCTTGGCTTCTGGCAATGCAGGTATTGTTAACCTGATTGGCAAATATTTCTTTAAAAATGTTCAACAGGTTGGCTTCAACTTCTTTATTGCACCGTCAACTGCTGATTTTTTTTTTTTTTTTTTATGACATTGGATTTAAGAATTGATTGATGGTGGTTTCAGGGAGCTGCAACTACTTGCTACGCTGCATTGCATCCACAAGTCAAGGGAGTCAGCGGAGAGTATTTTGCAGATTGTAACTTGTCCCAAGCCAGCCCTTTAGCTAATGATGCGGAATTGGCCAAAAAGCTGTGGGATTTCAGCTTGAGCTTGATAGCCCCCCCCCAAGTAATATAATATCATGACTTCTAAGGGAGTTTTTTTAGTCAACAATGGTATTTTGGGGCTCATCGTTTCTATATCTTACTGTAATAACGGGCCGCAGCTGTACAATGTGGGATCCCGAGCCTCTCCAGTCGAATGTTTATCCAATTTTGTTTAGTTATGTTATTCTTATAAACGTCAACTAATACAAGAAGTAAATCAAAGTTGTACGAATAAACGTGCAAATTTATGTTTTTTTTTCTTTTTTTTTTTGAGTGAGTCCTCAAATTTTGTTGAATTCTTCGAATATGCCATTTGAAGTATATATATATATATAGAGAGAGAGAGAGAGAGAGAGAAGCTTTTTAAGATTCAAATCTTGAAGACCAAGCCTGCACGCATAATTCGGAACTTCGAATTTTCCACTATGAATCAGACTTTATTTGTACAAATGCTAAGAAATGATGTAATTTCCAGGGGCATCAAGTGGTATAGGCCTGGAGACAGCAAGGGTGCTTGCTTTTCGCGGGGTTCATGCGATCATGGCAGTGAGAAATACAGATGCTGGCAGAGCTGTCAAAGTTGCAATTCCTGAAGAAATTCCTGCTGCTAAAATTGAAGTCATGGAGATAGACCTCAGCGCAATGGCATCAGTGAGGAAATTCGCTGCAGAATACAAGGCCACGGGTCTTCCACTGAACATTCTCATGTGAGAGTATTTCGTTCCAAAAATTGTAATACTTCCAATTAACTTGACAAATTGACGATTTGTCTGTCTCTATTTCTTGACAGAAACAATGCAGGTGTCGCGACTCTTGACTTTCTGCTCTGTGAAGACAACATCGAACTCCATTTCGCGACTAATCACTTGGGTATACCTACCTAGACCTGTTTAATTATAAGTGTGATCCTTGTGTGTTAGGTTCGCGGTCGCGGTCACGGTCGCGGCCCGGAATGTTTCACATCGGTTTCGGCATATCGGTCGCGGTCTCGATGAGACGCAAATTTTAAAGTATTTAATATTCTAAAAATTATTAATAATATAAAAAAAGTATGCTAAACAAAAATAATAAAAAATAGCAAAAGAAATGGCCAAGTCAATCCGTCACGGTGTAACTCGGCCGATTTCTCGTCTTGACTCGGGATAAATCGGAGTGACTCGGCCGAGTCAATCCGTCGCGGTGACGTCTCGGCCGATTTCTCGGCGAGTCAAGTATCTTGGTATCGTTTCGTCACGGTATCGTATCGGTAGGGGCCGAGTCGTCTCGGTCTCGGCCGAGACTTCGAACCATGGTTAGGGTAAGTTTCTCCCTGTTTATGCGTTTCCTCATTTTCCAGGCCATTTTCTTCTGACAAACCTATTACTAGAGACGATGAAAAAAGCATCAGCAGAAACCCATATAGAAGGAAGAATTATGAATGTTTCATCACTGGCTCATGGCATTGTGTGCCATGAAGGGATACGATTCGATAAAATCAATGTGGATAACAAGTAATCATCACAGCTCCAAATTTTTATGGCGACGAGAACTTGATCTCATTAGCCTTCTGTGAACGTAACCCTTAATCAATATTGCTAACAAATTACAGGTTCAAATATGGCCAATCAAAACTTGCTAATATATTGCATGGTACTGAGCTCTCGAGGCGCTTGAAGGTACGTATTTGCATATGTACCCATATTGTTTCTATTCTTTTTACCTCTCGAGAATCTTTTGGTCCATTTAAACTCACAATTGTCTTTTGAATGTTAACAGGAAGAAGGGGTGCTAATAACTGCTAACTCACTTCATCCTGGAATTATTGTTACAAAAAATTTTCGCCACTCAAAGTTCCTCTCTGGTAAATTTTTTACACGGTAGAAAGGCGCTCTGCACATTTTGTTGGGGTTCTCGAACATTTTATTCTTTTGTTTGTTTTGGAACTGAAGATTATTCTGTTTGCTAGTACACTTCCGTGAACAAAACTGCACCTGGGGTTTTTGAAACTTTTATCCTGAGATCCTAATTTAGTTTGTTGTACTTTTGATTCATTCCCCTTCTGGGAATTCAGGTTTATTTAACAAGATTGGCAAAATTTGCCTGCAAGAGTGTTCAACAGGTTCGCTTTTTTTTTTTTTCTTCTTAATGCGATAAAATCATATGGCACTGTCCATTAAATGAGAGTCAGTATCTTGATTTCACCACAGCCCATCTAATTAAAGCTGATCTAACAATTAATATTGTTAACTTTGATTCAATGTGGTGGTCTCAGGGAGCTGCAACTACATGCTATGTGGCATTGCATCCACAAGTTGAGGGAGTTAGCGGAAAGTACTTTGCAGATTGTAACTTATCCCAACCGAGTTCTCTGGCCAGAGATCCAGAATTAGCCAAAAAAACTGTGGGATTTCAGCTTGAACTTGACAGCTCCCCCAACTGATGTCTATCACTGCTGAGGGAGTCTTCACCCTTACATTCACTAAATTTGTAGCAAATTGTACAAGAAATCAGGTTTATCACGATTAAACATACCTTTGATGCCTAAAATATATGTAGTGAAGAAGAACGAGTCTACGGTGGTTGCAATCTTTCAGAATCGACACTTCAAACAAAACAATCTGCTATGCTCATGTCAGTTCAGTACAGTTGATATATACAGATACTATACCAATTAAACATTTCTCCATCGATTGCCAAAAAAAGAAAAAATCGAAGCCGTGCATAAGATAATGTGAGTCGAGAACTAGTTCCAATATGAAGACCTGAACCATTTAACCATCTAGCAAGAAAAAAAATGAAAACAAAAACAAAGAAACACATTTTAACTTTCCTTCTTGTTGTCCTCTAACTTTTTTTTTTTTAAAAAAAGAACTATTGGGGCAGTTACATTGTTCAATTTCCATCGAAATTCAACCCATGAATCATGAAGAGCACCTCTTTTACTTCGCCTGAACAGAGCCTACCAGTAAAAAGTTCATCGAGCATCCATGCAACAGCATCCCATAATTTCCATTACAAGCGAGGTTGCCTTCCCAACTACTCGGGATCCGTCAAACTCAAGCTAAAGTCCCGCAGTTTCTTTGCCAACCCTGCATCTTTAGCTAGACCACTTGTTTTACCTATGTCACAGTTTGAAAAATACTCGCCACTCACTCCTCCATCTTGTGGGTTTAAAGCCAAATAGCATGGAGGGGCTGCACCCTGCAGGAAATTGGAGATGACACATAATATATGACAAATGAGTGTAAAACTATATGCTTTTAAAGAAGCAATGACAGATGAGATGAACCTGTGCAATGCTTTTGAGAAAAGATTTACCAAGCGAAATTCCAAGACCTGCAAGAAGATTTAAAAGAAATATTAGAAATGATCCAAGAACCATAATACAATCAGCTCGAGAAACGTTAGAATAAGCGTTGAAATTCACGGATGTATCTTTCTTGGCTCGTCAAGAATTGGAGCAGCTTTTTTCAAGAAACTTTTCTCAAAATTAATGATGTGTGTAATTCACTATTAATTCTATCCAAAAAAAAAAAAAGAAAACTCCTAGATCCTAGTTATTTGCCTCCATCTTCCTTAAACTATCATAATCTGGCCTCCATCGATGCTTTAGGAAGCGGACAAATGTTTATGGAATTAATAAGACTAATGGTTTTTAATAGTATGATGAAGATTACAAGAAACAAAATTCCGTTTTTTTTTTAATGACATTAACCTATCCTCATTAGGTGATTACGTGAACTAAGCAGATATACACAACCTATTAAAAAAACGCAAAATATTAAGTTGACAATTAGCTCCCAACAATCTAACAGATACAACGCCAACCTCATGGTTTATTTTCTAATGATGTCCCCTGTATTCCTAGGATACTGTGGACTATAACAGAACTTCTTTGTCTGAACGTCCTTCCTCGCCAACATGCCGTACACACAACAGCAGCTATGGAAAGCTTTCAAAACAGGCGTAGGTGAAAACCAACAACTTATGGTTCCCGCAAACCATATTTCATCTCTAAACAAATATTGGACGATGCCGTGCAAAATATACACTAACATAAGCACAACACAGTCGATGCAATGCAAACTATTACTTACGAGACGTGTACAGGCGGCGCAAAATTTGTCTACCTGCTGCTAAGACTACTTAATCGTATTGAATTCCACCTGTGTTCACAAGTCTGAGCAAGGAAGGTACTCCTGTCTTATGTTTAGAAGCAATATGCAGATGCAATGTACAACATGAAATATACAGATTTACATGAGATCATGGTCTGCTTTGCACCTTCCTTGTCTGACTGTTTAACAGAAGGTAACGGCCCATGAATTTGTTTTCATACCATCCATAGAACAGAAGCCAAAACATATTTACTCAAATTCTGACAGATATTATGATGCCTTGGTCTGATTTAAGGGGGGAAACAAACTCAAAACTCTCAAGTTGAGCAGAACAGAAATTTCATATCCGAGTTGATAAAAACATTACTGCTAGTAAATAATTTTCTTTTAATTCATGGTCAAACTACATATCCATTTATTTGATGCTCACACCAGCAAGAATCGAAAATGTTCCATGACAAAAACCATTATTTTACATCCCATCATTTAATAGCACCAGAAATATATGATTGAGCAAGGTTGAGTCCGATCTACTCCTTGGGATCTGTCAATTTCAAGCTAAAGTCCCACAGTTTCTTCGCCAATTCAGCATCCTTAGCTAAAGCACTTGGTTTTGCTATATTAGAGTCCGAAAAGTACTCGCCGCGTACTCCTTCAACTTGCGGATTTAAAGCCACGTAGCATGGAGTGGCAGCACCCTACAAAGCACGATAACAGGAATGAAACATATGGAAAATACTTCACCAAGCACCTCCAATTTGAGGTGCCAGCAAGATTTTCTTTAAAGAAACAATACGAGATGAAGTGAACCTGTGGAATGGATTTGAAAAAGAGTTTATTTAACAAACTTCCCACAACTGCATCAAAAGTCAACCAAAATAAACAATCAATATACCTCATTTAATCTAAAGAAGCATCAATCAATCATGTCAAGTGAATAATATCAAGGGAAGCCTCATAACTAGCCATACAATGTACTTTTATTAGCTATTTTCTCATTTCATCTACCAATATTTTGGCCACAAACCTTATTGACTAAAAAAAAAAAGCAATAATTTTTTCCTCTGAAGCATTGTGATAGGCTTTATGTATAAGATATTGTATATGCAATGACGACTTCATTTTTTGCATCAACCTGAACTCTTTAACTAGTTTGACGAAAGTTGCACATGTTTTACCCTCGGATTTTGAATATAGCCAGGATTCTCATATTCTGATAAACAAAAACTTGTGCGCACCACAACAATCAAAACTGAGCAAATTTTGTCCTGTAGTTGACTTTCATTACTAGGACCCTCAAAAGCTTTAGTTTGAAAAAATTTTGGATGATCTGGTTTTTACAATGTGTTGAGATTAGGTAGGGTTGTGGTAGCTACAAGAATTCTATTGATCTGTTTTCCCATTTTCCTGTGAGGACCAGGTGTGTAAAGGACAACAAACTATCAAGCTCACTATGGTCTGACAAAAGGTCTGTCTTTGCATGTATTACTGGTATATTATGGGAAAGCCTTTACTTTAAAATATAGAAAAGAACAATCAGAAAAGGCACAGAGTTCTACCCTCCACGAACTTCTGGTGACGCATAAGGTTTGTGTTAATTGCTCCAGGATGAAGAGAATTAGCAGTTACATTCACGCCTTCTTCCTGTGGGAGGATAAAAGGCTGTTACTGCATATTCTATTGAGCATGCTGAGCAGGAAAACTTTGAGATATTAATAGATGAAGTGGAATATGACACTAGCAATCTAGTACATCCCTAGTCACACACACATATACATGTATATGTATATGTATGTGTATGTATGTATGTATGTATGCTTATTGGCCAAATATTAACTCATGCACTCAAATGCAATTATTTCACATGATCATATTTACAAGGATAAATGATATTATGCTTATAGATTTGCTTGCTTCTGAGACTCAATGTTGTATACACATCAATCATTGTTCTTGCAGTAAAGGAGAGTGACAGTGTGCTGCAGGTAGCATCTAAGGGCTTCCAGGACACCTCATCTAAAAATCCAGACCAGAATGAGAATTTGAAAAGCATGAAAATAATTGTCTAAGGGTGATTTATTAACTCACAGGGACACTGTCAAATACTGAAAATGTATTTCACTTATTATATTACTGCTTTCTAATTTGTTCATCTCAAACTATAATAGAATATTTTAAACATGCCAAGATTTGATAATTACTACTCTGCCTCCAGATACAACAAGAGATCAAAATAGTCATAGGCTACAGAGATTTAGATGGCCTCTAGTTTTATATGAAACATTATGCAACTCATCAGTAAAATGGTTCCAGAGTCACTTTTCTGCTAATGGTGATTACCTTCAAGCGCCTGGAAAGTTCACTAGCATGCAATATATTAGCAAGTTTGGATTGTCCATAGGCACGGAAAGGGCTGTAGCTGGAAACAAATGAAGAAACAGAAGGCATTTTATTATAAACAATTATGACCAGCAATCATTCATTACAACCCTAATCAGTTCATCCACTTTATTAAGTACGAGAACTGAGAACTCTACCCCATAGGCCCAAGTATCAAATAATTTATCATTTCGATCAGCTTTTAGATTTTTGTCACATATACCTCAACAGATCATTTGCCCCAATGCTTTGGTCTACTTTGTTGATGTTATCAATATGCTGACCTCTTGATATAACCTGGAGATCTCAAGTTTATAATTTCCTAAATTCTCTCCTATTCTTTTATCTAGTGTTGCATGTACACAAAAAAAGTGAACTCATAAGAACACATCTTGTCTCAAGTAACCCCAATTGCTTTTGGTTGGCTATACAGATTTCTATTTTCCAATAAGGGTATGCATCTGTTTTGTAGCAACTGACTGAACAAATAAGCACAAAAGTTAGGAATTTAATGAAACAAAAGAGCATCGTCTATGCCACCTTGATTGGTCATTTATCTTGTCAAAACAGATTCCCTCTTGATACGTGAAATTGTGTCCAACTGATGAGACATTAACTATTCTCCCTTCTCTTTGGCAGTCACGTGCTGTGGTTTTCATTTTCTGCAGCAACAGATTTGTCAAAAGGAAATGACCTGCACAAAAGAGTGAAGTGATTAGCATTGGCATCAGTCATCATCTGTGCTTGAAAGTAAGAAGAACAGAGAAACAAAGGAGTTATAACAAGACTGCTTGTAGAACCAAACAAGAAATGTATTTCCGCAGCTTCAAATTGGAAGATTTTCTCTTAGTCAGTCAGAAGTCCTTCAACCAATAGAACATCTTTAAAGTTATTAAGAAAATGAAAAGACAATTCCACTCTACTGGAAGTCTAACTCTAGGGCTTAAGAGAAGCTAAGAAAGAACAAGCCAACAAGTGAAGAATTTAATCAAACAATCAGTAGGTTATGTGGTGATAAAAAATTCCAATCCCTATCATAAAATTTCACCTATAAAGAAACATGGTACAGAAATTCGATGCAAGTAGGTACAAGACAGGCTTCACCATCTGGGGTTAGTTCATAATGGTCTACCTTTTCTTATTTAATAGTCTAATCTTCACGTCCACTTTTATTAAATAATAGAAAACATAAATGTACCTACAGCATCAACTTTCACTTGCCAATCTACAAAGTCACAAAAATGCTTTGAATTAACATGCAGCAACAAAAGATACAACTGCATGCCAGATTTTACTTATGTTTTTGGATGGAAGAAGAAATATCCATGGCACCATAACACTGCAAATAATGCCCAACATTTTCTAACATCATAGACTTGCAATCTCAAGAAACATCATATCTACAAGAAATAAATAGCAAGCATACCTATATGATTAGTTGCAAACTGCATCTCCATACCATCCTGTGAAACCATGTATGGTGGTGCCATAACCCCGGCATTGTTACTTTAAAAAACAAAAAATGTCAAATTTAAGAAAAATTCAAGTAAATAGGAGGAAAAAGGAAGAAAATGCACAAGAAAGTAAATGATTAACATTAAATACATATCCCAAGAAGAAGCAAATATTTAAGAATTAAAACACCATGGATATGAAAATTGAATATTTGACATATGATTATCTTACATCAGAATGTTCAGAGGAAGATCAGAGGAGTTGTATTCTGATGCAAACTTCCTAACTGATGCCATAGAGCTGAGGTCCAACTCCATAACTTCAATTTTAGCATTAGGAATCTCCTTCAGTATGGCTTCCTTTACTTTTCTTCCAACATCCACATTTCGCACTGCCATAATTACATGTGCACCACGCAACACTAAGACTCGAGTAATCTCTGTGCCAATGCCACTGGATGCTCCTGAAAATTGTAAAGAAGGAAGAGCAGCAGATATGAGACAACAAAGCTTGCCCGGGTAAAAAAAAAATTTATCATAAAAATCAGAAATTTTAAATATTTTAAAATTTATTCCCATCAATAGAATTGCAACAAATGACAACAGAAAAGCAAAAAGGATCAACTACGTAAATTAGAAATATACTAAAACATCTTCCGAGGATGAGCATAAGACAAAGGTGATAATGATGAACACAAAATTACCTAACATAACACACATGAGATCATCCACACAAAATAGAGATTATAGAGCCCAAACTACTAAATGAATGTAATTTCTAATGCGGAGTTTATGGATGTTAATCAATTTCCCTTCTTGGATCAATTTACAGTAACACATAGACTGGCAGAACCAGAATCATCTCCTACCACCACTTAAAAGTTCCTGTTTTCCCTTTGCATTGAGAAAATGCAAAATACAACGTATTCTTAGTTTTACTATGCAGGGAAAGAGGTAAGCCACTGCTGGATTATGGTTCATTATATTGCACGAGGCCAAAGCAAGGTCCAAGTCTGGCAGAGTAGCTACATGCTTGAATGTTGATAATTAATCATCCAAAAGAAATTTTGCTGAAGGTCACATAGATTAACAAGAACCAAGTCGCAAACAGCAGAACGTCCACCTCTTTTCTCCTTATTTTTCACTATGGGAGGATACAAAGCCCACATCCTTACATAGCACACCCCCCAGTCATAATAGTTCATCTGGCTCATATTCAATCTTTCCTTGACATATTAATGAGATTTGAAGAGTCATGAATCATCAAACAGTTCAAAAATCTCAGGAAAAAGAAAGTAGACAACTTGCATACATGAATATACCACGTGCAGCACTCAACGGATAAAAGGGGAAAATTATGTAAATTAAGATTAGGAAAAAAATAACCATCAGAAGAGGAAAAAGACCTGTAACAATGGCAGTGAGGCCCGTGGCATCAACCCCTTGAGTGACATCCTCAGCTGTAGAGCTAGAAGAGAACCCAGATGGCCCTTTTTTCCAAGGATACCACATCTTTCTGATTTGCTCCCAAAATTTGATCTTTTTATTGTAGTAATTAAAGAATCAATCTTTTGAATGTTTATTAGGTGGTATTTTCACCTGTAAGTGGAATTGAGCTCAGAAAAACACCCACCTATATATATATGTATGTGGGGACAGAAAGGCATCTATCAGCGTACGGCCAGCATATCTGTCAATTGTTTGGCGTTGAATCTTGAATGTAATCCTGTCTTCCTCGACAAGTAACTATGGATGGCTTAACATGTTACACGACTGGTTTGTTTAGAAGCCATATACATCACGCATGAGGTCAGAGACGAGGAAAAAGATACAGCAGATTGTTTACTCTCCTAATCGCCAAGGTTTCGCTCTTCGTGAGAAAAAAGAAATGAGAGCAGGAAGTTGGGTTAAAAGAAGCATCGAAACTCTTCCCATTACCCTCCAAGCCTCAGGCGTGTTACCTTACCAAGCCCGAAACATAGATTAGTGAGTCCAATTTTATTTCTAGCTGCCCACAATTTGGCCCAAGCGTTGAATTTGTGCATGTAATTAAAGCTGAATATTCATGATCTAATAGCAGCCACGTAAATGGAAATTAAACCAAAAATGGTCCCCAAGTACGAGGCATTCTGGCTCTCATTAAAGACTTTGGGACCCTTCCTTAAAAGATGTAGCCAGGGCTGCCTATCCCCCTTCTTATTGCGTCTTAAGGGTCTGTCCCTTCCTTTGTAAAACCCCCAACAAAAAAAAAAAAAAGGGACTTTGTGATGATTTTCGATCGGAATGAATATTTTCTTTAACTAAGTAGACTCAATAATCATTTGCTTCCCATTCATTTTACGCAGAATTTGTGTGTTTTTCTGGTTTGGATTCGTTACTAACCTATTTACCTTTTCCTTTATCGTTTTTTAGCTATATCTTTTACTAACCTTTTTTTTTACGACTTAATTTTTCAGTCAAATGGAGGATTAAATCTGCTTATAACGGAGGCTTATTTCGATATGGAGTTGCTTAGATTTTAATGAGTTAAAGGTGCCAGTCAATTACATTAAGCCCAAGCAGGCTACTCCATAATAAACAGTGGTGCCTCCGAGCCAGCCTCGAGTACTTGGGCTCAGGGAGGAGTCCAAGGCCCAAATCAGGTAATAGGTTTCTAAATTCACTTAATTTATTTTAATCCATGTCATGTGTATTAACTTTGTTTAGTGTTATTTTAGATGTTACTTCATTAAAGTGGCAAGAAACTTAATATTTGTTCATCGAGAAAATATATTTTTGCATCTTTGATATTTAGTTGAATACAGACACTGAATTAACTGTTTTTTTGGGTGTTTTTGAAAAATATATTTAGTTGAAATAGTTTTATGTTTATAATTGTATAAAAATTTAATAATTAATTCAAAGATTAATATTACGCATGGATCCATTAATTTAATATAATAAATAGTCATGAATATGTAAGAATATTATTTTATTTTTTTAATTATTCATACTTGCATAAATTCACAACTAATAATGATATATATATATATATATATATAACCCTTGAATGAATGTTACTTAATTTGAATTTGAAGTTCCTTTTCTTACATATGTAGCATGATGCTAGTATGTGCACGGTAACATGTATCAGATTTGATTTTCTATGTACTTCCAGTCTGTATTAGCAGGAACAAACCGGTCGATATGTCAGCTAAACTAGCAGTTAGCTAACATATCTTGATGCCAAGTGCCAATTATCACCCACAGAAATTCTACCCACCTTTTCAATTGTTTTAATCCTCCAACATCATTAGTTAGTATGGACCATGACACGAGCATATTCCCCTCGATGCCTTTTGCAGTACTAAAATCATCATTTGCCAAGACCAAGCGATAAAACTTCCACAAGCAAATACAGCCGAGCCCAGATAACAAAAAATACCAACTTTGTGGGCTCAAGAAAGATTACACCACAATGTTAAAAATATACTCCTATTGAAAAGACAAAAGAAGAATCCTTCATTCAAAGGTTGGAAACTGAAGCAAACTTTAAGTACAGCATACACTGATAATTTACACACACATTTGAGAGAGAGAGAGAGAGATAGAGGCAAGGGAACACCGGGAACAAACAACAATAACAGGAGAAGAAAAATGGGGAGATGATATCCTTGTCCCTTTAAAAAAGGTAGAGATTCAAGATGATGATGACTCGAAAGGTTAAAAAACTTGATCCCCTCTTAAGCCCTGCTCTTGAAAGGAATGGCTCTGATCACAATCTGGTGGTACACTGCAGCAAGAGCAGCTCCAATGAAGGGTCCAACCCAGAAGATCCACTGAAAACCAGAGACAAATAGTTATTATCTAGCTAAGAGTATGGACGGACACTGACTGGTAATTACCAAAAAAAAAAAAAACGAAGAATAGACACTGATAACATGCAGACATAATCATTATATCTTACGTGATCATCCCATCCAAGGTCTCTGTTGTAGATGATGGCTGCACCAAGACTTCTTGCAGGGTTGATGCTTGTGCCAGTAATGGGGATAGTAGCCAAGTGAACCAAGAAAACTGCAAATCCAATTGGAAGAGGAGCCAAAATCTGGAACATAAAAGAGAGATTAGTAAAGGGTGTCCAAAATTGTTTGATTTCGATCAACTTTACTCAATGATCTTTCGCCAACATGTTTGATTATCAGAATCTAGCAATAATAGAACAAGACACCATAATGGAGCAACCAAGTACAGAATTGATCATGGTTAGAACAGTCCCATCTTTGGGATTAAGTTGCGTGTTCCAAAACTCCAAGCTCTGATTTTCAAGTCCACGTACAAAATCTCTCTTAAACAGTCCAAGCCAATGATGGATGGATGCTCTAGACCTTTAGAATCCAAATGACAAGAGGAGTATCTTTCCAAGTAGGGGCAAGAAAATAAACAAATAGTGGTAGTCTAGGCGCTACTGCAATTTAAAATATTTAGTTTAATAAACGAGATAAACATTTGTTGTTGATAAGTAAAAAGAGATGCTGGAGCGAAGCCAAGAAATGAATACGAGTGAAGGCAACTAAAACAACATTTTAACTGCACGAACCAAAAGGAAAGTGCTAGTCATATGGCAAATGGAAGCCACAAAAAGATTCGGCAAGCATTAGCATTTCGTAAATTGGCACAATGATGGATCAACATAGACCAGTTCTTTTGTGGGTTCCACATGACAAAACAACAAAAGCAGAAAAGCAAATGCATCATGAGAAACACTTCACATGCAAGCATGTGTTGCATCACTTTGCTGGCTGGAGCCAAAAGTTAAAAACTACCCATCCCTACTCCCAAGGAACCACAAGGGTTAATTACAATACAGAGGGAAGGAAGAAAAAGCCATCAGGTACTGGGCCTACTGGCAAGTTAGGCATTCTTAAGAACTAGTTCCACAAAGAAAACTACTCGCATATATAGTAACCGATTCAGTTAAAATTTGAGCCACAAAAGGGAATGGCAAACTATCACTACCATTTTAGTGCATCACAAAGGGTTAGCAGGCAAAACAGGGAAGCATTAAATGAAATGTAAGTCTAGACGGCAGGTTTAAGAGCACATACGGGAACATGTGAGTCTCTGGCATTTCTCTTGGCATCAGTGGCAGAGAAAACAGTGTAAACAAGGACGAAGGTCCCAACAATCTCAGCACCAAGGCCGTCTCCTTTGGTGTAGCCATGTTGTACATAGTTGACCCCACCCTTTGATCTCTCATATGGTCCCTTCTCAAATCCCTTGACAATACCAGCACCACAGATGGCTCCCAAGCACTGCATGACTATGTAGAACACAGCCCTTGTCAAGGAGAGCTTCCTTGCTAGGAACAGTCCAAAAGTCACCGCTGGGTTAATGTGTCCTCCTGTTTCAGCAAACAACACAAGAATTAGCAGACACTACAAGAGAGAGAGAGAAAGAGACTGGTACAGATCCACATCAAAACATCAGAAAAAAAAGGGAGAACTTGCAGCTTCAAGAAGATTGTGAAAAATATCCCAGAATGATCCAATTGTAGAACAACATATCGAGGGGATAAAAGAACAAGTTTTCCATCAGCAGTTATATAACACAGGTGTAACATTTCTTGAAAAGAAAACCCAAGATCATACCTTTTTCCTAGAAAAATTCAGTGAAACCAGTGTACACGAAAAATAGTTGACCGGTAGCATTTTCTAATAAGAAAATCCAAAACTATACCTTGTTCCTACAATAAAATGACTAAAAACTGGTGCATACCCCAAAAAATAGCTCAGTCAAGTACCATAAACAAAATAGGTAGACAAGTAGTTATGAGATCCACTAAAGAATCTGGTAAAATACAGAGGCAGAATAGGCAGTGCCGTGCATGAAGCAACTGATAATAGAAGGTAAACATGGCACCCCTAGCAAAATGGTAACTTGCTCTAAAATTATGCAGAATAGAATCTACTATCCAGTAGTGGACATGTTTAAGGAGAGGAAAAGGCAACAAAAAGAAGGAAAAAAAGCCCAGGAATCATCTGTGAGGAATCTACTAGACAAAGCAAAACAAATTAAAAAGCAGATGGAAAATGAAGAGAAAGAGTAGTGCTGAGACAAACCTGAGATACCAGCAGTGCAGTAGACAAGTGCAAAGATCATACCACCAAAAGCCCAGGCGATCCCCTGAATACCAACAGAAGCACACTTGTTTGGCGTGCTTCTGTTAACCCCCATAATAGTCAAGATAGTGATGTACAAGAACAGCAGGGTGGCCATGAACTCAGCAATACCAGCCCTGTAGAAGGACCATGAACTCAATTCCCCTGGCTCGAAGAGGGGTGCTGGTGGTGGCTCCTTGTAGTCCTTGTCTGTTTGAGCTGCTGTCCCCAATGGTTGCCTCTCTGTGAACTTGTTCGCTCCAAGCTTAACATCTTCTTCCTTGCCCTCTGCCATTTCTCTCTTCTTGATTTTCTTCTACACACTCAACTGAGCACCCACTGCTTTTTTTCTCTCTCTTCTTTTGGAGAGTACTGGAGGAGGAAAAGCAGTCAAGTTGTGAAGCTTTGGATAGGGTGTGAGCTATTTTATACTACTTAGAAGTCATATAATTAAAAAAAAATGAAGTAATTATTGTGTTCATTTTATTTTACTTTAGCTCGGTATGCTAATTATTATGCAGGCTAAATTGCATTAACATCCCTCAAAGTTTACCCTAATTATATTCGACTTTTGTTCGAGTTTGAATTTGTATGAAAAATAAACACTTAAGAAATAATTGAACTTCAGATCGAGCTTGATATTGTTTAAAAATAAATAGTTTAGAAAGAATCAAACTCCGAGTCGAATATCCAATAAATGTTGCTGTCATCAAGAATTATTTTCGTAAAATGCATTTGTTTTGGTGAGTGTTGCTGACAATTATAGGAGTTGTTAAACATTATTATAAAGAAGATAAAATTGTAATTTTAGGAAAAGTAAGCGAGTGAGGAAGGTTGGCGTGGTCATTATGACAAAGTCTTGGATGTTAGAGTGTAATTTAGCAATACTTGTTTTGAACTAATTGTTTGTTAGTAAAGCATTACACTGCGCTGAGTCAGTGTATTAGAGTAATGGAATTAAGGGAAAAAGAGAGAGAGAGAGAGGGTTCTGGAAATGGCAGAGGGATGTTGACAGGCTTTTGAATGGAATTATTTTGTTGTGCTTATCTGCTGCAGAGCGTCACCATGGTTTTTCCTAGACATACATGCTTCTGATTAGCTGGTCTGGGGCCATTTGATTCACCTAATCAGATTGATAAGAACAAATGCGGGCAGCCAGGCAAATATATTCTGGAGGTAAAGTCTAAGAAGGGTGATGGAATCATGTATATATTTTAAGTAATCCATATCACTTTTTTTTGTTTTTTAATTTGGGTCACCTCTAATGCGTTGTTTCTTTGTATTTGATTATTGAGTGGCTGATCATTAGGCAACCTCCAGAATGAATGATGTAGTGGGCACTATTTAGAAATTCATTGTCCCAATTCCTAATTAAACAAGGGTTCCAAAATTCATCATTTTCTAGGAGTTTCATTCATGCTCGGACTTTGGGTCATTATTAATGCCAAAAAAAAATAACCAACAAAGAGTAAGAAGATAAATACATACGAGTATATAGTGCATCCGTTTACTCTAATAATTGTTCAATCTCCTTTAAGTCCAATTGGGCCTCCGTCTTAAATTAGATTAGAGTAAAGTATTATAGATAGAATCGCGATGGAAAAAAATGTAGTAAAAGGGAGGGGGAAGAAGGGGGGATTAAGCAACTAATTAATTAGGGTCAAAGTTACGAGCATCTTCTTTCTTTTATTTAATTTAATTAAAGAGAAAAAATAACAACCACAAATTAATAGAAGCATGCAGCACAGGTGTAAGGTGCATACGAAGCTGATCGATAGACGGACCGAAAAAAAGAGCCGTTTATTTGCGCGACCGTTGCAGAAAGTGACAGGCTTTGAATTTACATGTGCGGAAGGCCCACGGCCAACGGGTGAGATTGAATTGAATGAACCCAAACACAGAGATTAGATTATGGTCCAAATCACATCGCACTGACATCAACCCCGGCCGGTTGGCCCACTTTCCCCCGAGTTGTTAGCCACTCCACCAATCAGAGAAGAGAGAATAAAGGATCAGAGGTGGAAAAGGAAAAGGACACTCGTGATCTTCAGATTTTGGCACTTCCACTTGATAAATGAATGATCTCTGGTCGGGTCAATTTGTGCCCAGCTTTGAAACGGGTACTTCGCAATTACTTCATTTCATACTAGAGTTGGCACAATAAAATAAAGAAGGAAATAGCTTGAATTACGGCGAAAAAAAAAAAAATCTTTGATCCAATTCAAATTTCAAGTGCTATTGCCCCTCCCCCCAAAGTTTGAATGTTTGATTTCTTAAGGTTAGTGGAACGAAATATTTCCTACATCATCGATTTAAATCTTTTTGAACCAAAAAAAAAAAAAAATCTTTATACTAACACCTAACGATGCAAGCGAGTTAATATTAATAGAATTTACAAAGAAAACTCTTAAAGAACAAATGTTTCATTATATGACGTAAATCTATAACTTTTATCACCTTCTATGTTACGTAATTTGCCAATGCTTGTCAATTTCGATGCATATAATGGCACCCCTTGAGAAAACTACAAAAATGAGCTAACTCCAACTCAAAATTACATGTCACTGAACCAAAATTTTCCTTCATATATATATATATATATATAGATAGAGAGAGAGAGAAACAAAAAAAAAAAACAGAAGTTATCATGCAACATTGAGTGTTTGGATAGTGTATTATTTGAAATCTTATTTGGAATAATTACTATAATATTTTTTGTGATATGATGTATGTGAGATAAAAAAGTGATTGAAAATATAAAAAGATGATTGAAAAATGTGTCTCTGATACAAGCGAAATATTATTTAGGATAATTGAGGTATCCAAACACTCCCATAACAGGTACATATGACTGACTACTCTTGAATTTTATTGCGTCGTGCATCATCATTCGTTTAAATCAGCGAATTTCCTTGTCATGATTAAGAGAGCAGCCAACATTGGGCAAACATATCATCACCCGCTTTACTATCCGGACATTTGTCGTTAAGTATACTGTACAAGAAAGACAGATGAGCAGTAGTAATAGCGGCAATAGTTATTCATTCCCGTGGCCCAATGGTTGTTCTCCTCTCATTCTACGTCTTTTTTTTTTTTTTTGGTTCAAGTCCCGCTCTATCTCTAGCAGGTCTAGTGTCACGAGCCAAAAGCAAAAAGGAAGAGTCTTTACTCACTCAGTGTATATTTTGTTAGTGCACTTGAGTATAAACAGAAGTAGGCCAAAACCAAAGACATGTATAATTTCCTGAAAAAGTGGCTATCATCACTAATCCACACTTGTTATATATATATATATATGCTTCACATAACTATCCCTCAAAAAATTCCAGAAGAAGAAAAAGAAAGCACAATGCCTTTTTCTTTTTTTGGGTTCAAAAAAGTAAAATGTCTTTGTTTGAGGAAAAAAGAGAGTTAATTAAAGCTTTCAGGATTATTGTTCCTATGCAATTTTTTTTTTTGTTTAAGAGATGACTCCAAACCCTAGAAGGAGAAAGAGGGATTCGATGAAAGTGAAAACAAAAATTTCACGGTTACATATCTTTCATTACCATTGCTGATCGATCTAAAGTTTAAGCAGCATAGAGCCATAATTTAATAAAAGCGTCCTCATTGTATAATTTCTCTATTTATTCTTTTTGCGATAGTAACTATTTGAAGCATAGAGGTGTCAAGATTCAGAGGTACTGAATTCAAATTTTCTTTCATTTTTCTTGATTTTTAAATCCCACTTTTTTAGTGCTACAAATTTAAATAATAAAAAAGAATAATGGGAAAAATTTGTATATGGACCATTTAAGTAGAAAAAACATTGGGAAGAAATAATGGGATTAGGACAAATATCGTGGTGTAGTTTATCTTTTCTTTTTTTTTTTTCCATAGTATCCGAAGAAACAGGGGCAGCCAAGGCAATCATGCCATCACGCCGGACAACTCACCAGTCATAATGATGCAATTCTCAATTGGCCTCTATGTCGAGCCATTGTCCAAAATTGAGCCCTCTCCTCGCATCACGTGCTTCTTTCAGGCCCACGCCTGCTGCTTTACTTCTCCTCCTCGGTGTGTTTCATAAATGATGAAAAAGACCTTCATAAATTTGTCAACTATTGATTCCTCGTAAATTATTTGCTACAAATTTTTGGATTGTAGTTCTTCAAATATTTTATGTTTTTCTATTTAGACGGTTGGAAGAAAAAAGTTTGATTTAGTATTAGTATCAAATTTAGCTTTTGGAGATTATGCTAAAGGTCGAGGTAGAATGCAACTTTGCATGAATTTATAAAACATGTATCACCAAATAAATACTCTTATTTTAACATAAAAGTGATATTTACATAATTTTTTATACACTAATAGTGTATATATTTTCATTTTTAAGATGTCTACTGATTAAATTTAAAATATAAAATTTTCATATGCATCATATATCTAACCATAATAATAGTGATACGTAAGATTTACTCAAGAATTAAATCCTGTGAAAGAAAAGTTTATAGCCCACGAACTATCGGAGAAAGAAAGAGAAAAATAAGAAAATGTGACACTTATGCCTAGTTTGGGAGATGTGATTAGAGCATAAAAGAAAAGAAGGGAAGAGAAAGGTAGACATTTCTCACTTTTGAAAGTTCTAGTGAATTAGAAAGAAAAAGAATCCGACTGATTTGGGAGGAGGAAGAGATCCGCTACAATTAAAAAAAAAAAAACTTAACTCATAAATTCTCAAATAACATTAAAATCTCTTCTCTTCTCTTCTTTTTTTCATCCTTTATTTTCTCTCATAACTTAACCTTTCTCTTCTTTTCTTTTCTATCCTCTACCCCCAAGCTAGCTACTAGAGTTGTGTAGAATAATCAATAATCCTAGGCACAACCAAAAGCTACATCACCTAACATTTTGTGGAATTTGTCGTTCTTAATACTCATAAATTCTACTTACAATATTCAAATACCTCACGTCAACCGCCCCAACCTCAATAGGCTGTCCACGTGGAAGCAGCTCAACTCTCTCTGATGAATGATTGTACCATCGTCAACATGTTATTGATCATCCCTATTCCTAAGCATTGGACACCTAGTTAAAAGGATTAGAGAATTATAATTATGAACAAAGACGATGAGTTTGACAATCGGTTGGTACGTCAAACTTTATCTCAAAGTGTAACCGATGGATCTCGAGTTTAAACTATCAAGGATTGTGAGTTTAACGGAGATAGATCTCGAGTTTAAGCTATCAAGGATTATCTACACCGCTCATTAATCCTCTTTAATCTAGAAGATTTACTTCAACTTTACTGGTTAAAACCCGATATCCCTTTCAGTCTGGAACACTGGAGCGTCCTTCCGACATCCCCATTTGGTAATATTTCTAAATGTGCAAATTGCAATTCCTTCCTATCCATATAGAAAGCAGCTGCACTGCCATGCTTCACAATTTTCTGTTAATTCCAACCCTTTTGCCAAACATATAAAGTATTCAGGACCAGTTTTCAGTAGCTGCAACAGGCTTTATGGGCAATGATAGTTACAATAGCCCTCTCTGTTTGGAAAGGGAAAGGGAAATGGAATGATGGATGAGGGTCCATCTCAAACCCAAACTTGATTTCATCAACCAGCGCCTCAATCCACAGCTTTGTGGACCCATCGGACTAGCAATAAATTACAGATAGATTACAACATTTCGCATCAAGCACAAGCAATTCTTGGATGGAAAAAAAATAAAAATTAAAGAGAGGGTTTCAACGAAAACAGCAGGGCACTAGGGCTGCTTGATAATGCACAAAACTAGCCATTACAACATAATTACACGTTTAAGTATTTCTAAAGTGTGAATCATTCCTTGTTAGATTCAAGGCCGACATGCGGGCAGACCCTTTCGGGTTCTCCTTTTGTCCACAGAATCTTTAGATCGCCTCTCATTTTTCCCAGTGCTATAAAGGTTCCTGCACCAGTCATCAAATTTTGTATTCAGAAAATCATTAAACACGCGCGCACGAACGCGCCCGCACACACACACACAGTTTGCATTACAGAAGGCATATACAAGTACAAAGATTCCCATGATAGATTACCAAGAGTAAATGGGACGATGTAAAGAAGAGCAGGTTGGCCATGGCCATCCATCAGGTTCAACGCCACATATGTAATAAGCAGACCTACAATGTATTAAATAAACTGTTTCATCTACTGATACGAGTAGTAAGCAACACATCAGAAGAAAGATGAGTGTGCCAAAAATTTGAAGTACCAAGATATCTCAAAAACACTTGTATTAGAGGAAAATCTTGACATCCTAGTGGTTACCTAGTCCATAAGCAAACATTGCCCATAAAAAATAACCAGCTCGAAGATTCTTCTTTGCAAGACAATCATATCTGCAATGTACACCAAGTTTTCCCAAATGAACCAAGTGACAAACAACACAGGCCTCATAAAGAAAATTTTCATTTGTTACAGCAATTGAATACCATGTACCCACTATAAGTCAGCGAAAAGGGAAACAAAAGGACATTACATATGCCAGTGATTAGATGGTATGATCGTTGCTTCAGTTGTTAAACTAACCCAAGATATATTTTATGACTGAAAATCTATCCTCATGATTTTATGGAGCCAAGCAATTTACCCAGATCATGAAATTTTTCAACTTTTCCTTGCCACAAGACAATAATAAAGTTCCAAAGAATACTGAGCAACTGTACCATAAAGCTAGAAAATTTTTTTTTTGGTCAAAAGTACTACAGATCTCTATGCATAGCAGATCCGCAGATAATACAAAGCTAAACAAATCAAACCTGAGCGAAAATGCTATCAGCAGCCCAGGTAAAAGGATGTCACCAAAGCCTATGATGCTAAAACCACCCCAAGGATCAAACAAGCGTGGAATTTTCAGAAGCATTGGAATACCATCCTCTCCACTTCTATCACCTCGAGCAACCTAAAAACCCATAAATTACTCATTTGAAAGCGAACCTTTTTGCCAAATAAATTACTGAATTCTAGAATATTCATTGTCTATTAAAAAAAATTACCCACCACAATCATCACGCTTTCATGGAACAGCGTCTTTGAAACAAAGACCCAGAATATGTCGTACAAGAAGGCACAACTAAGAAGAACTGTGCCCACCTGAAAGATAGTACAGATTCCTAATTACATGGAAGAAATATGTGCTATAAAGCATATCTTTTATTCAAAAAAAAAATCCTTTTTTCTTATAAATAGCAGTAGATAAAAAGTAAACCTTAACCACTTCATGTCTCGTAGCCTCATTGGAGGAAAATTAGATTGAACCAGTAAAATAGTTGGTGCTGAGTGAGTAATTTGACCACCAGGAGCAACACAATGCAGTGGTTAGCCAGACTTTAAGTAGCTAAGTTTTACTAAAATTGTTTCTCTATCCCTGCTCCCTACACTAGGTTTCAGCTCAAACTCAGACATTGTACTGGAGCATTTATTTTCTGGAAAAATCCTTCTCTGGACATTTCAGAGCAAGGTGAAACTAGACAGGCTCTCTTATGTAAACAGTGATTCAGAGAGCTTCATCTTTTTGTCTAACTCCATAATGTTCTTTATTGCACCATATAATTTTGCCAACTTCAAGTCCGGTTTTCAAACTGGTCCACTGTGGTAGAATGTGGTTTAAGTTACTTCTCATTACATCATCCCTACAACGCGAATATCCTATTAAATACATTTTCAGCCAGAATGAACATGGCCAGCTAACATGCAAAGTCCAACATCCACCTGCTACAAGGAGCTAAATGCCCTTGTCATAGGCATAAGAAGCCAGTTAGACAAGCACAAAGAGTTTAACTTTCAAACTCTTTGGATAAGCAACATAAAATTCCCTGCCATTCAGAGCTGTGTCTTCTGAATGCTAAAGTTAACTATATGTTTGTAGTTCTTAATATTTCCTTACAAAAAAGTAAAAGCTAATGAAGGAATAATATTTCACTCCTAACCAATCTTCCATTTTATAAAGAATCACAGACTTCAAATGCCCTAACACGAGCCTTGATATATTAAAATTTCAAAAGCTTGAACACTAGAAAAAAGATTCTCAGAATTAATATAGGAGGGTATAGATTAATTCTCTGACTGATACTTTAGAATCAAAATCCACAAGAATTGGTTCTGAGCCCAGCATGTGCAAATAGCGGAGTGAACAGATACAAGACATTGGGAATATAATGCCCTTTGATTCATTTCTTTCTTATCCTCCTATCATCTTCCACAGCAAAACTTGTTCTACCTACCAATACTTTTTGTGGAACACCCAAACAGTGACACATGTTGGGAAATAAGAAACATGTATGTAAGCATACTTGTTCAAAGTTCAGTAAATCTCATTATTCAACATTGAAGCATCATAGAATGAGCAGAACAAAAAAAAAAAAAACTTAAAGGTATGCCAAACTGCTGGTGTTGTTACCTTGAGATTAGGGACTCGCACAATCTGAATAACTGTTATTATCAGTGCAATCCCCTGACACAAAAGAACAGGAATCATATGTCAAAAGATCAAGCTGCATTAAATCTAAATATCTTAGGTCCTCAAGTGCAACTTATACATAAAGCATCTGGTTCAGATTAAGTGACATTAAGATAGATCTATGAGAGCAAAAATCAAAATCAGTATACCAACCACAACAAAGGGTATAGAGGCAGGATTTTTAAGACTTGAGAACATAATGATAATAATTATATTTAAATATATTTTGTGAGCTCACTGGTAGAACAGGATGCAGCAAACCCTAATTCACGAAGATGGCATGAGTAACCATATTTAACATAGAGGGGGGAGGGGGAGAGGGAAGGAATTGTAAACACAATGAGCAGTGGTAAATGCTCAAAGACAAGATCTTAGACTCGACACAGGTGTACCATCCACAAGCACTTGGGAAATTTCATTCTAGAGAAGAAAAGGACAGTTTTTTTCTGGTCTCACCCTCCCCTTCATTTACCTCTCTCTCTTAAATATGGCTCTACTGTCACTCTTAACATTGTCACTGACTCACTCAGAACAGAATGAAGGTTCACTTACTGACCCAATAATTTATTTATGCTCAGTAAGCACCATGTACACTAGCTAAACAACACAAGGAAACATGACAAAAGCAACTATGCTTACAAGAATATCTTGGCCTACCCAGCCAAAAGAGGCATTTCTGTACACAGCCCAAATAACAGCAAAAGCTATGCAGAATGGAGATACAGCCAAAGTAAGGTAAGAGACAGCTCCAAAGAAAGGCACTTTAATGAATGACTCTCCCGTGCGTTTGAACCACCTGAAAAATTTACAAATTCCAAAGCTTCAATTGATTGCAAAAATCTAACCTAAACTTTTGTTGCATCATGAACTGAATAAAATTTGCCAAATATTATGCTTAAGTACTTAAGTACAACTTCCAGCATTTAAGTATAGGACCATCAAACTAAAAATCAAATAGAAGTCCAGCCAATCATATTGACTGTTCTACAGAACACTACTATCAGCTGCAGATCATCGTGATAAGAAATTCAACTAGGCAAATATTTCAACAGAAAACCAAAGAGCATATATAAATCATTACAACTTCCAAAACAATTAGAAGTAGCCATCTACAGTATAAATCTCTTTTTTACCTTACACTTCAAGTGACATATGTAGCCTTAATAGAGTACATAATGAACTCTTAAGAGTTTCTATTCTGACGCAAATATAATTTCAGGATGGATTTAGTCCAAACCTTGCTGTTTCTCCTTGAAGCTTAAATGTAGGTTGTTGAGAAGAATTATAAGGCCATATAGACAGGGTACCTTTTGTGCAAGAAGCTAAAATGGGTGTGTGGGAATTTAATTACCCTAGAGTGCTCTCTTCAACTTTTCCTTTCTAAACCCCTCTCTAACACCACCACAACTACTCTTGTTCTTCCAAATAGAAAATTCATAGTGGCTTCTTCTATATTATTTTAAGATTAATTTCCGCCAGACAATTAACCCCAGAAAAAGATTCAACACAAATCATGAGCTCTTTACACCAACATAGCACCTCTGAGTTGGAGATGACAAGTAAATGAAGAGCTGAATAGCAAGTGCAAAAAGAAGGAAAAGAAAAGGGGAAAAAAAAAGAAGAAAAAGAAGCTAAGAAAGCAATGTACCTAGATAACAAAGCAACCAAGCAAGTTTGCAAGCCCTGCAAATTAAAATACAAGCCAACACACTAGAAATTAAAATTACTATAAAGAGCTTCATTGAACGGGAACAAAGAAGGATATAAACAGGCACACTTAGAAGCCAAAATTTAGATAAAAAAGTACGTATGTTTAGATTCCCAGTGATGCAGATTTGCAAGTATAGCATTTAAAAGTGGTTATTATTTATTGTAGCAACTTTATAATATCCGAGGGCAAACATACTGAGACATGTTTCCAACTTTATAGTGCATGCTGAATGTCAAAAGAAAGAGTGCAAATCCCCACAAAACCAGTGCAACGGGAAATAACAACGGCTCCAGAAATCAGGGGGGGTTGTCAGTGAACAAAAAAAATGGACCATTGTCTACACATCAGAAATAATTTATAAGAGAGAAAAATCTATATATATTGATGAGACATTATTTATATGAGACAAATATCTATATTTATTGATGAATTGAAACATATAAGGCTTGCATTTCAAAGGGAAAATCACACCTCTACACCACCAATGCAAAAAAGAACCACCAAGAGATCAAGGAACCAGGATGACATTAGCTTGTACAGTAAAATCAAGAAGCATGAAGCAATGACTACAAAGAAGACTGCCGATGCAGTGCTTATATCCACCACATTGCTTACACCAAGACCTTTTGGGCTTGGAACTTCGTCTGACGCATCCTAGAAGAAGAAGATAAGATTTGTTTTGAACACAGGCTGTGAACTAAAAAACAAAGCTGCATGAACAAGCAAAACCCAATAAAATAAAAACTCATATTCAACCTTTAACAACTGGTCCTGTTCAACAGCCACTTCTCTAGCACTCCAAGCAGACCAATAAGAGGCACATAAGATCGTACCAACTGCCATTAGCCACAAAAACACTTCTGCTATGTCAACTACTGGTCTTCGTGGAGAGTACAGCTGCACAGAAACTAGAGAAAGATACAAATGCCATCAAGAAGGGAATTTATAGAAATATATCTGGAATAGGATAAAAAACAATTGGAAGTAATAGCACAAATACTAATGATGGACACATTAGTTCAACAAAAAAGTAATGCTAAACTTAGTCAAACTGTCTGAAGTCTTAAACTAGCATACTAGTTTATTCTGCACCAAATTTTAGTTTGTTTATTTCTTAAGCATCTGCAAGAATCAGAAAATGCATTGCAGCTTTCTTCCCTTACTTTTCACATGCACAAAAAGCACATATAGTCATCAATCATCAGTTAAAAGGTTTCTTGTAGACATGATTGCTTTTTGGCTATTGATTCTTGAAGAAATCAAAGCCTTTATGCTATAGCTCACAGTTGTTTATCCACGGCAAATAAAAAGAATGCAAGGTACAGCAAAATTTCAAGCCATGGGAAGACAATTGCTATGCTAAATTGCTTAAGTATAATAATAATAGCACCAAAAAAAAAAGAAAAAAAGAAAAAGACGATGTTCTGTCATCTTAATAGCGCAGAAGTTAGGTGCTTAGAATTTCTTTCAAAGCAGCATAAGACTAACAAGAATATTCTATTATTTAAGTTGCACATCTTCATGAGGAGGGAAGCTTGCCTGATGAACTATTTGACAGCATCTTCTCCAAGCTTGCACCAGCATCTTGCGGAAGCATCACGGCTGGAATCTTTATGTCCAGATCAGTTTCATTAGGCTCACAGACCATCTTGTAGAGTTCTGCAAAGGTTATGAGTCCCATATGACACAGGAAGTGTTACAGAAAACAGTAATATAAAATGAACAGCATCTTGATTATTCATAGATCAGATAACCAGAACAGTCCTTTCATTGAAGACATCAATGGCAGAGCAAAGGTAATACCAAACAAAACAGCAAGGAGACACTAAAAAAAGAACTGAACCACAGATGATCAAGGAACATCACAAGGCAACAAGCAAATAGATTTAGCTCAGCACCCTTTTCAGCCACCCATGCCAAAATATGGGCATCAAATACATTAAGTAAAATATCATTACCTTTTTTATTATTGATAATAAGGACAGCTGAAGCACCAGCAGCCTCTGCAATATTAGCCTTAGTTGTAAATTTACACTTGCCACGATCAACCATGATGACATCTCCAGCAAGCTAATACAAACAACAAAAGTCTGCTTTTAGCATGGAGATACTAAACACTAATAGGGATATTTAAAACAGTAGTCAACACAAACCTTGTTAATTGAAGGACTACAACAATCCCTAGGGTTTGAACGAGTAAGGTGAGTTTGTTGTGCATTTTTCTCCTTCGAAACAATTGTAGTGCCAAACCTAGCACCAACACCAACAAACTCAGCGTTCTCTATGCCATCAACCCAAGTCTGAATTTTTACCTATCGGATGCAGCAATAACATTAATGACGAGTAATGTTAACAGATAGGATTGAATATATACCAAATGACAGAAATTCATCTCTTGTCTACCAAATGATAGGCAGCCAACTGAAGCTTTCAGCTCCAATAACAGTAACACTACAACCTACAAATGCCAAATTCAAAGTAGGCTACCTCAAGTGGTACTATGCCATGAAATTTCATTTGCCATGCTCCATTATACTAGGGCAAAGAATTCAATAGTTATCACGAAGTAAAGCTCAAGATTTTTTTCATGTTCTTAATTATCACGAAGTAAAGCTCGAGATTTTTTCATGTTCTTAACTTTTTCTTTTCCGTCAGTTCTTAATTTTCGAGTTGGGTGAAGGCTGGGGTGCGAAATGCAACCTGATTCAGAAGAGTAGAAGCTGCTTTTAGTGATCATTAAAACGCCCAAAACCAAAATGCACTGAAGTTCATCATGAAACCTCATCATATACTACTCAATAAAATCCAAACACAATTAGAAGCATTAAAAATCTAATCTTTAACAAGAAAAGTCCAATTGACCTCAACCCACTCCAACCATCCCAAAATTCAACACATAAAACAGGTGGGAAAGCTAAGAGGTTAGGTTCGTTTCGGAATCCAGTTCCTTAACACATAATCACCACAACTCCGTCACAGCATCATTTAAAACAAAAATGAGAAAAGGAAGTGGCGAGACCATTTAAATAAAATCAAGCAACTGACTGAAAATTTTAGTAGTAGAACATGAAAAAAAGAATAACTAGAATCCTGTTTAGAAGTCACAGAAAATCTTAAAAGGGTCGAGGAGAAGTAGAGGAGTAGATGAAGTACCAAAACGAAATCATTCTCGCAACCGGGCTTTTTAGGGGCTAAATCGTCTTCATGAACTATGTCACCGGCCGTCACTTCAGCTGGACTACTGAAGACCACCACTACAATTGCATACACGCAGATTAAACTGCAAATTCTGTCAAAACCCATGAGAAATGCAGAAGCTTTGATGCTATTTTTCTTCATTTTTTTATGTATTTAGTTCGATGCATCACAGCCTCTGAAGTCTGAGCTGAACTATATCAATCATTTAATGCATAGAGATAGAGGGTCCAAAAGCAGATCCCTTTTTCGATAAAAAATTTGGTCTGTTTTTATCTTTCTTTTAAAATCTTTTTGGGATCGGTTATAAGTATAACTTGAGAATGTGACGAATAAAGTTGGGAAAAATCAAGGGATGAAATAAAAAATTCAAATACTTAAAACAGTTGCTGTGGAAAGTGGGCGTCATCGTTTCGGGGACTTGTGAGAAGTGGAGGTCTTCACAAATGTCAACCAATCTGGTGAAAACGTACGCGGACCAGTTTTTTATGCTGTAAGTTGTCACCTTAAAAGCGTGTAAATCTCTCCGTTTTTCAGGTGTTTAGGCATTTATTTAGAGAAATTCGTACTATTTCACCAACACTCGGTCACACTTAAAGTACTTGTGACCTGATTACTATGATATCGATGACTTACAATTTGGGTGCAACACATTGATGTTACACCTTTTCACCAATTGAGGCAAATCACCAAAGTCTAATTACAAAAAAAAAATTACGAATTATGATGCCTTCTTGGAGCGCTAGAGGGCATGAAAAGGGGTTGCAATTCTCTAAAATTGTCAGAGCAATTGTAAAACATATATAGTTACTGGTCCAAATTTTGCTTTGATGTGAAATAAATGGATTGATTCGATGAGTAACAAAATCCGCTATATTCTCTAAGATTTTGTCTTAATTTCTACGTTTGTTGTACCATTCATTACATCTGTTAGGATTCGATTGGAAATAAACGGATAGAACTTAATAAGGCGATCTTCATTTACTCTTTGTTTTTGTTTGAACCAAAATAAGCAAACTTCGTTTTTGTTAGCTAAATCTTGAGATTAAAGAAGGAATTTCCTTATTGCTCTTCGTTCTGTCAGAGTTGGTATCTGATTCATGTGGCTTCTTGAAAGATAAATTTGGCAACATATAGTAGCGTTTGCAAAGCAAATAATGGAGTTCCTCGCTTTCTTATTGTAGTATCTGGTGTTTGCCGGACTGAAATTCTTGGAGAACCGTTTTAGTGCATCTGGTTATAAAATCCAAAGTAACTTGCATGAGGGCCAGAATAGAAAGAGCATCGAGTCAATGATGATAGATGACAATGAGGGCTTAGGATAGCAGTGATGAAGATTGAAAACCATGGGGATTGATCGACACAGCACACAGCATAGCACTTTTCCTTCAACTAGGACCCTTCTGACTAACGTTGTCCGTAAACATTAACTAACAGGGTTATATGTACCACACAGCATAGCACTATGATTGCAGACATCATAGAATGAGTTATATTGTCAGGAATAGGGATATAATCCAACATCGAACTACTTGCGAGCAGCTCCGTCAAAACTTGACTCGCACTAGATTTTGATCTAGTGCGAGTACCTCGATAATTATTCAAATTGAATTCAAGTATTGATTTTTCAAGTTTGATGGCTCATCGAGCCTTATCGAACACAAAGTAATTAATTAAAAATTATATGTTTAGTTATTACAATTTTACTCTTTCAGATTTGGAAGTTGTATAAATTATCAGAATTACTTTTTTAGTTGAGTCAAGTACTCGAACTCGATCATACTCGCAAGAAAATCAAGTATAATCGAGTCGATCTCGAGTTTTCAAACTATTTTTCGAATTCGAGTCCAAACTCCATTTCTGCTGCTCAAGCTCGAGTTCGATCAATACATCTCTACTGTTGAGTCAAGCTGAAGTATAGCGATACTCGTGCTCGACTCAACTCGATTACATCTCTAATTAGGAACAAGGCTAACCAGGATGCACACCATTACACTAGACTTTTTTGTAACACTAAGAAGGAACAGAGTTCAAACCTGACGTGTTTGCATTCAGATCATTTCCAAGAAAATAAGCCCTTTATGTGTAAATGTAAAGGAGTAGACAAACAAATTTCGCAAAACTGCAATTGATGAGCAGTCATTTGATGGAAGAAAAATAGTGCTTTAACTATTCCAGTACTAGATTATGCGATGCAATTCGAAAGTCTTGGTGCTCAGGTTTATCTAATAACATAGAACAGGGAAATGGCTATGCTGCTTCGAGTTAGAAAGAAGGGGAACTTTAACTGGACAAGAACACCAAATTCAGGGAAAAAAAACAGAAAAAGAAATTCAGAGTGGATGTCTGTTTAACATAGATGAATATATCATTAGCTTAAGGATATGAATGCCATCCCTTTGTCGAAGGATCAAAGGAAATAGCACATCAACAGGTCAGAGAAATCGATACACATCCTACTTATTCTTTTGACAACTATTTCAGCACAAGATGGTCTCTTTTAACTTCTCCACATCTAAATGATGCAAGTCCTCCATCAGCATTATTAGTATCATAATGCATGCTGCAGCTTATGGTGTTACCAACAAAGCACTCTGACAGGGCATGGCTTCTCCCAGGAACTCTAATAGCTCCACCATCCATCCTTGCTGCATTATTCTGCTGAGCTGGATCTTTAGCACTTTGGCTTGTGATAGTGAAACCATTATTCTTCCAATGATTAAGTGGCACTGGTAAACCAGAAACCATGCTTGATGTTTGACTGTTTTGATAGTCCAACAAACCCATGCCTTTTGAAGTAATCTGAGCTAAACTTCCAAATTGTTCATCTGGCTGGATCCCAAAGAGGTAGCCATAATTATTTGCATCAGTCACGGGATTTTCCTTTTCTGCATTTTGAGCAATATTTACTGGAGATCCAGACTCATTGTGATTACGTAAAGAAGAATCAATACTCAGGCTCTCAGTTTGAGGTTTTGGCAAGACACTAGGCAATGTCACATAAGAGGAAGAACCTATTTGATCAGACTCTTCAACTAAATGTACTGAATTGTTTCTAGGTAAACTTAGTGTTTCTCTCTTGTCCATCCAATTGGAATGAAGTGCTGCCTTTTCAAGATTTGTTCTCTCTGAATTAGCTATAGAAGATTTGCTTGATTCAAATCCCAGATTGTCTTTCTTAGACCCTTTTCTCAACCTACCATCAGAACTTTGAATTCTTTTGCCTGATTTCTTTCCAGCCTGATGCATTGCTCCATCAGACTTCTTCAAACAACTGTTGCTTCTCGGTCTTGAAACCTGCTTCACAGCCACCAACTTTGTCATCTGTTTCTTCATTTGCACAAACATCTTCTCTCTTGCAACTTTGAGATCCTTTAATAGGGACTCACTGAAGATTTTGAGGTCATTCAATAGCACAGGCTCTCGGTCTTGGATGTGGTTCCTGACCTTCGTATTTCTCCTTTTCCCAGAGTTTCTTTTGGATTTAAAATCAACGGCAGTTTTCTCCATTCCTGGTTCACAATGCTTTTTAGTAACTTCAGCTGCTCGAAAAGGGACACTCTTTGTGGCATCTTCCTGATAGTTTTCTCGAGAACTTGGGGTTTCAATAGCGTCATCATCCTGGGACAAACTCAAACTTGGAACATAAAGTTTATGCTTCTTTTGAACTGGCTCATCACCTAAACTTGATTTAGAGTCATCAGTTGAGGAATCAACCTCATCATCTTTCCTCCTATACTCCCATCGCTGCTGGAACTTTTGGTCCAGATCCATATTAAAGCACGGTTGTGATTACCTTCATGTTCTGAAATCAGAGGATAGTGATCAGACCTCAATTGACACTACATAAAGGCTCAACATCCGGAAGAACCAGCGTACGTGTAAATAAACTACACCTCCGCCTAATTGATTCTACCAGGTGCTGAAGTAGAGAGGTTTTGGACAAGGAGATAACTCAGATTCAAATTAATTGCCAAAGTTAAACCTGAAAATATGGTAGACCATCCTCACGGCGAGCTAAGTTCTCACATTTCGCATCTGATTCGAGCACATTCAGCAATTCTTGGTCTCTCTCCTATTTCTACCTTACACAAAATACAAGTAGTCTGCGTTGAAGATACTAATCTACAGGTCAACAAAATAATTGCTTCAGTATAAGAAGAAATATAGGCAACAAGGATCAATATTACAGCAACAAATGACACAAAAAAGGAAAAAAAAGAACAGGATAGAGCAGAAATAAAATGGTTGAAAAACTTAGACAAACTAGAAAGATCCAGCATCAGATAGTTGCTAGATAGACAGGGATTCAGGATTGAATCCTTCAACTTAGCAATGTCAGTACCGTTTCAGTATTACTACTTTACCAGTTGATTCTTCCTCCGGAACATATAATCAGAAGAATTTGGATGGTAAACCCAAAGTGTTTGCATGCAAAAGGATCATTGCACAATCAAGTCACTTGGCAGGCAGTGCAAATTTATAAACAAACACCAAGTCTTAACTCTGTACTCTTAACTGTCCTAAATTGCAAAGAACGACCTTAGGCATTCAATTTAATAATTCCTCAATCATACTAATAAACTTAGATTAAGCTAGACAAAAAAGAAAGAAAGAAACAGTTCAATTTGCAATTTCAAATCCAACCAAGGCATGATGTTACGATCGAACAAGAAGGCCAAACCAAATAATGTGTCATAATAAAAAGAATAATAGCATAGACTAATCGATGAAAAGCAGAATTATAAAAGCATGTACAATTATATCGTGTCTTCGGAGGTTGAATACGCTCTTACCATCTTTTATTCAGCAGATGAAAAAATATATATATAACTCAATCAGCGAAGCCCTCTCCGGAACACCAATGGTCTCTATGTCAAAGAATGATGCTCTTCTTCTGCATATGTTTCATTGCTTTCTTATCACTAAGAGGAAGAAAAATATGCGATTGTTATGCCTGTTGGTGTAGTTTCTATCTAAATGCATACGGGTTGTGTGCGATATAACTAGTTCCGTATTGTAAAGTTGGCAGGAGAGGATATAAACAGTTGTAAAGCCTAAAGAGTTATGGTGTCATTAGCCTTTCTGAGTATAAAATTTGTCCATTGGCATGAATCTGAATAAATGATGGGATCTTCCGATTCTATATTGTGATTAATGCTTTGCAGCAAGTTTTTTGTAGTATCAACAAAACTTTTGGATTTTGTTAACTTCTTTAGTAAGCCATCTTAGATAGCATTTAAATCCATATCATCTAACTCCACCTTCCGTCAGGCCATCTTATAACCTTTAGATATTTGCACAAATCATATGCCAGTTGGCCCTTTATCCGCTAAACACCAATACCAACTTTTGTAGTGTCTGGAAGGAAGGAAAGCAAAGATTTGCTCACCAAATAAGTCTGCTGTTCGGCCGTTCTTTCTTGGCTTTCCTTTGATGGGGACTATATTTGCTTCATTTTCTTAAAAGTTTTTCCCCCCTTACGCAGACATCAATTTGCACCGAACACCTCTGCATTTGGAAGTGATGGCATAATGCATTTCACGAGGAAAAAGACAGGTTTGGTTATAGAATCATGCATTAAAGTTTGGTTGATGCATTCTTTACAGTTGCCTTCGCAGTTCTCTTTGCAAACACACTGTTAAGTTGTAAAAGTTGGTGGGTTTCTAAGCTGACACTATGCATTCATCCCGTGGTCATATATGGGTTCATACCTTTTACCATCGTCGTTTGAGATTCAGAAGAAATACGTAAAAAGACTGAAGTTTTAACCCCAGATTCATTGTGACTTCCTGGTGAATGTCAATCACTGATCTCAAGTTAAAAGACTCAAATCACAATCGCGGGATGCTCCTTTAATGAACGAGTACTGTTCTTTAACCATCACTAGCAAGAATCTCATTTTAAGGTTGTAATGTTGTTAAATAATAGAGTAGTCTTTGCGTATTGATCCGACCTATATTCATATATTAAACTATCTATTACTAGCAAGGTTCTTCGCAAAAGAAAATCAGATCATATAATGTTTTAATTGTCAAACGGAGCAAATATGAGGTACTTGCAAGGCGTCGAGAAAATGCTCTAGACACTGAAGAATAACGCTCGTCAAGTTTGATGAAAATTTGGGGAGGAATGAATTTTAGTAGTTTAGCGAAGAATAACTTTACACAACATAAATGCTTACGCACATCTGATTTCTTGCATATACTGTCACCGTGGGGATTTTTTTTGGGTAATCACTACACTACAGTGATTGCTCAAGGCAACACCTACCGCACCAGTGCACCTTCATTTCAAAGTTCTGCACTCTAAAATCTGATTAAGAGTCAAGAATTCGAAATGGCTATCAATATGATATCTCAATCTCATTCAGCATATTTCCATGTCTCTGTCCTTCCTTCACTACATAAACATCAATTGAAAGAGGAAAAAACCAGAACCCGCCCCCCCCCCCGGGGCTGGCCCTTCCGATAATCCTAACTGCACATGCTTACAAAATTACAACATGTATGGAGAGATACCAGTTAATGCAAATGCTTACAAAATTGCAACGTCAGTATGATCGACTGGCTGCCATTTGCAAGGTAACTAAACCCAGTAACAACCTGCGAAAGGAAAAGATGAAATGAATCCAACTTTAATGTTCACAGACGAAGTGAAAATGTAGGGGACGGCAGAACTGTAAAAAGAGAAGACTATGAATGGCTCGTCTATGCTGTTGAATAAAGCTGTCTTCATTTCAATCTTACAAAAGCTGGTAAGAACATCAAATTCCCTCTTCCCCCGCTACAAAGGGTCTATGGTCAAATATGAGTATCAAGAAATCCAAGGGATCCTATACGGAAAAGAGTTACAGCCCTTTGGACTAACTTAAAATGAAACTGACTTCCATAACGAAGACCAAAAGGGCTGGGCTAAATGTTAATACAGATAATGTCCAAGCATTTTACTGAAAAATAGGGATGCTCATTTACAGCTCCATATATGAGCAACCCCACATATGAAGATGGCGATGGGATAATTAAGCAACAATATCTGATAATGTCCTCAATAAACAATCACATACCTCTCTCTATAAAAGCAGGTTCTGATATGTTTAACCATTCCTGCAATTGAATCTGAAGAACACCATTCCACATGCAACAGTTGCTCTTCTTCATATCCATATATCTCAAGGCAAGTCAAACAGCCTGCTTCTCAATTCCAGTGTGATGGCACCAAGCTCCCACAAAATGACTTGCGCTCCTTGCGTATCCTCATAAAGCTTTTCTATAAACATTTTCTGCTACCATATCAATGACTCTCTGGCAGCCTGTAGCATTCCAGGAAGAAATCAAATTTAAAATACTTGTCAAGATCTCTAATTTTTCAATGGAACAGAGGAATAATGAAGAGAGAAGAAGATAGAAGCGAATGATTAGAAGTAAAAAGATGTTTTCCACAGCCCTCACATTTCAATATAGAATAAAAGAAGCGCTGCAGATAGACGCTCAGTATTATAAATATTTCCATTTGCAATTGACAATTGCAAGTCTGGGGAGTATAAGATTTGATGCTTATGAGATGCTAAAAAAACTGCATTCCAGCATAACTGTAATCAGCATACCTCCATGGGAATTCACTTGTATCAATTCCAGCCTGATGAAGCTCATCAACATAATGCAATGCCTCACGGCACTCCTCTCGGTCATCAAAAAATTCGTTCTTGTCACCTTCTATCTGGTATGTTTCATGGCCTTTTCCAGCAACAACCTGCAGCAAGCAGACAGCAAAGTAAGAAAAATCCATAAGTTAAATGAAAACAAATTGACAGGAACAAAACAAGAACCCAGTGAAGAGTAATTTAACCGTACAAACCTTTTGTTCATCATTTGGCACAAGACACAAGATTACATCATACCCACACAGAGTGAGAATTAATCCACTAAAACTTCAAAGGCGCTAATCGCATATAGCATTATCCGTTTTGGACATTAAGGTCTATCTATCTTAAAATAGAAACAGTGTATAAAAAAAAAAAAAAAGAAACAGTGTACTCTTTCTGATTCTAATAACCAATATTGAAATCAGTAAACCAGTTTTATCATCGCTGCAAACATTCTGCTTTAGATACATACATACATGAGTTCTACATGCACAATGATATTTGTAGTTAACTGTATATAGACAAAGGAAGCAAGGAGCTTAGTAACTTACAACCATATCACCTTCCTCACCCATAGCAACCGCACAACGTACAGCTACCCGCCTTATATCATGCAAGAAAAGTCTATGGCCATTAGGAAGAGGAGGATAATAGTCATTCTCTCCATGTTTCAGATAATCTTGCATAGTCCATCCTACTCCAACCAACATGTCATCCAATATATCCACTGGTAAAAGTAAGATAATCATGTATCATTATCATGCACCCATACGCCTTTTAAAAAAAAAAAAACTGTAGGATTTGTTACTTGTACTTGATATTACCGTATGTAAGAACTGCAGAAGACCCCCATCTCCCCCTAACACCCTTCCTTCCCAAATAAAAAAAGGATCTTAATAAAAATGGCTATGGTAGATAACTTTGCTTGTAGATTGATAGATTCCATAGTGGTGTAAATACATTTCCTGCTGGAATACTTACATGGATCTTCATTCTTTGGATTATCAGATGTCAAAATAGTCACGTCACTTTTGTCTGTTGCTATCTTTGTCATAATCGGCCTCTTCCCTCTATCGCTTTCACCAGCACAACCAACAACTGAACACCACATGTTACAATGCCGATAAGCAATTAGGAACATATCTGTATATCTACATTATCACAAGAAGCAAGGGAAACATAACGCCGCAAGTGACCACAACAGATAGTCTAGATAATGGTCAAACATGTGTTTCTAGAAGGATCATAATCGGCCTCTTCCCTCTATCGCTTTCACCAGCACAACCAACAACTGAACACCACATGTTACAATGCCGATAAGCAATTAGGAACATATCTGTATATCTACATGATCACAAGAAGCAAGGGAAACATAACGCCGCAAGTGACCACAACAGATGGTCTAGATAATGGTCAAACATGTGTTTCTAGAAGGAAGAAAGTTGAACACATAAGTATGTAGCCAAGGACATTTAAAATGTTATATACACTCAACTTATTCAAGTTCTAGATTACAACAGCAGCACAACTTTAAAACGTCTCTCAGCATCAAATGATTTTCATTTGCTCAGGCTTTTTCCCCCCTCTCACATTACCTTCAACATGCTGTTTACTAGTTCAGTAAGAGAATTGGGAAGTGTTTAACTGATTAAAAGTTATATGAAAATTTAACTAATTGGTGTGGCCTTAATGGCAAAGCCACGCTAATTAGTGTAAATGTACACCTGACTTCCACCATATATATTTGGCAAATTTTGTGAGTCAGTCCAGCATTAGTGTAAATGTTTTAATCTGATCTTGATCTCCAAGTTGAACAAGCTATATATAACCAACTCTAATGAAAGAGCTCAGTCAAGATGGAAAAACAGCCAGAAGGGGCATTTTAATAACATACAGAGATGATACTTTCTTTCATATACCAAGTCTACAGTAAACCACGATAAAACATAAGCAGATACGTCTGTATCTGGTTTGAGAGAAAATTCCAATAAAAGTTTGAAAGTGCAAAAGTTAGATACTCAAAATAAAAGTCAAGAAGAGCCAAACTAAAAATAAATATGATACTTATATTAGAAAGACTACAAGTTTGAGTATACTGCATGCAGAAGAAAATGGTGCTCCTTCTAGATTTGTATCAGCTACAAAAGAAAGCAAATATTCATGTACCTGTGATAATCCTCCTAGGGTTGAGCTCCCTTACATAATCAAGGAGTCTAGACAATGCATCAGGAGTGTGAGCATAGTCCACAATCACCCCAAATGCCTGTTCCTCATCTATCAACTCACATCTACCTGGGACGGTGTCAACCTCTTCAACCCCTCTCACTATGTCTTCCAAAGGTGCACCAACTGCGATCCCAACAGCAACAGCCGCAAGAATGTTATAAATGTTATGCCTTCCAAGCAATCCAGACGAAATCTCCAATATTCCTTGAGGCGTATTAACCAATATCTGGGTCTCAAACAGAGACAACTCAAATTTTAAGGGATGGACATCAGCATTCTTATTATCCATTGCAAAAGTTACAATAGGCACATCAGGACTTCCTTGTGCAATGAAGAACGTTGCATTAGGATCATCAATATTTACAATTTTCCGATGGCGTTCAGGATCCACCATCCTTGAAAACAACTTAGCCTTGGAATTCCTATACTCCTCCTCAGTCCCATGAAAATCCAAATGATCCCTTGTCATATTTGTCAAAACTGCAATATCAAAATCGACCTCATCACACCTCCCTAACGCCAATCCATGAGATGAAGCCTCCATAACCATAGCTTCCGTCCCATTGTGCACCATTTTTGCCATCAACTTCTGTATTAAAACGGCATCAGGGGTCGTACTTGAAGAGTCCAATTTGTTATCCCCATGAACATAATACGCCACAGTACTCAACAACCCTGTCCTCAATCCCATAGCCTCATACATCCCCTTTATCAAATATGCAGTAGTAGTCTTCCCATTAGTCCCCGTTATCCCAATCACAGACATATTCTTAGACGGATACCTATAAAATGAAGCAGCCAATGAAGCAAGAACCGCACTGGTATCCTCCACTATAACCAAAGCCTTACAGCCCAACGTCTCCTCAATGTCAATCTCTTTACTTGCCACAACTGCAACAGCTCCTCTCTTATCAGCCTCGGATAAGTACAAATGTCCATCGGTGTTCCTCCCAACGCAACACACAAACAAATCACCACTCTCCACCAACCGTGAATCATGCTGAATCCCACTAATCTCCAACTCTAAATTCCCATACACCGAAACAGGCACAACTTTACTCTCATCTAAAAGCTCAGCTAAACTCATTCTAAACTTAGGTTCAAAAATTCTAGCCTTACTCTTACCAAATTCATCAAAATCAATATCAAACGAGGATAAATCAGAAAACTCAGCATTATTCAGTTCATTACTCGCCTCAAAATCAGACCTTTCTGACCTCTCCTCCTCCTTTTCCTCTTCACTTCCACCAGCATCATCAGCCTCTGAAATCTCAGTTAGGCCTGAAAGCTCCTTAATTTCCTCTAAATCAACTTCTTCTTCAGGCTCCAGCTCATCAATGTCAGCCTCAGTCTGGGCACCACTAACAACCTGGGATTCGTTCTTTTTGGGATTAGGCTTTAAAAGGCCCTGTTTAACAAACTCTTTTCTTTTCAAGGCAAGAGCTTTATCAATCTCTCCGAACAAATCATCCCCCGAAGTTTCATCATTGGCAGAAATGGAGCTTTCAGGTGGGTCCTCAATTTCAGCAAGGGCGTCAACGAAAATGGACTGGTTTTTCTTGAATTCTTCTTCTTGGAGCTTTCTCGCTCGGGCAGCTTGACGTTGAATCTGCTGGAACTTGCTGACTCCGTGCATTGAGTCTTCTGGGGCTACTGGCGGGTCATCATCTGATGGGTTTGGATAGAACTTTCCATCTGGGCCAATGGCGGAAACGGCGGAGCTTCTGCTGGTGGTGGTAGTGGTGGGGAAGGATTGTTTCAGGCAGAGGGGGAAGGGGAGTGAGTTGTGTTCGGGGATTGGGGAAGAAGAAATATGAAAGGGAGGAAGGAAGGATGGGAGGGAATGGAAGGTAAGGGGCATTTCTATGATTCTATCCGGTTGTTTTTTGAGTGTGTACTGTGTACTTTGTAGAAGAGAGGAAGCAGAACCCTGAGGTTTATACTTTATACTATTTGCTATTGCTACAGGGAGAAGAAATGATTGGGCTATAAAGGCAAATTCAAGGAAAATACGTTGGCAAGTCAGAAAATACTCTTCTTAATTGTTTCGTTTTGCCAATTCAGGGAAAACAGCAAATATGATCTGCTCTGTGATGTTAATTATTTATAACTACCTTTCTTTTTTTATCAAAAAAAAATATAAATAAAAGATCTCGAACTTGAATTTCTAATTCACACTCCCTCTTTCCGTACCATCTAACTACTAATTCTGATCGCTTTATGTTAGGTGGAGTTGCTGGGGAGGCTCTTGGTTATTTATCAGGTATGGAATTGGATGGTAGAAGAACAAGGAGAAATGGGAAGATAACAGCTATGAGTTTGTTTCCAATATCACCACCAAATTTGAGGCTTCTGAGGCCAACTCGAAAGACGGTGCATGCGCACAAGTCACAAACCTGCGGGATAAAGCTTTGTTCTTGGGTCATAATTCCTCCATCTTTGTTGACCCTTCCGCAGATGAGGATATACAAGCCTAATTGCATGCACTTCAGCGACGATAACTTCGAATGCTATTTGTACAGGCGAGCAGGAGCCATGGACATGGGCATCTATAGCCTTTCGGACGGAACCACGGAATGCTATTTTGATAGCAAGGTCGCTCCGCCAACTTTGGGTTCAACCAAGCTTTTATATCAGCAATCAATGATTGATTTCTCAATTCAGCTGGTATTTACATGGAGTGTGTGGGCAGCACATATGCATATTCGTGCATAAACCTCCATGTACTCTTGCTTTTTGCTTCATTAGTTTCTTAATTTTGGCCTTCTTTTGTTTCGCAGTAACATCAAAGAAATTAGGAGGGCAAATTCTATCGGTTGCATGTTTGGCTGTTACTGCATGGTTTCAATCAAGCGCGGGTCATTACTAATTATATTGACACGGATTAGAGCATGCATAATGCCAAACCCAAAACTTCACTTGATAAAGGAAAAACATTAATTAACCAACCAAAAAAAGTCTATCAATTTTTCTAATGGTGTCAAGTGGATACTCTTTTTTTTTTTTTTTTGAAATCCTATTCTATTACAAGGAGGATCGTAGCAAGGAAAAACTCTATTTTATTACAAGGGGGGACGCCTACTGCTCCTAAGTTGCACCTATCTACTGTCTTAGGAATTAGACCTCCGATCGTTCGCTGGAGAAGAGTCATAGAGTTCAAACCGCTCAACTCATTCATTGTTTCTCAAGTGGATATTCATTAAGATATCTAAATCATATCTAAGTTACTATATAAATACATATACTTACTTATATTGTACTTCTATATTGCTACATTTTTTTCAAATTAACCATACTTCTTTATTCAAAAGACTAACTCGTAATATATACTATTACAATTGGTTGCATGACATATACAAAATTTAGATTTTAAATTCAAATTTAGATTAATTACCATGCATTCGACAGGCGATAGTGTATATACTATAATAAGTGAATTTACATTTGAAGTGTTGCTTAGAATTTTAAATTTGTGGCCTAAATTGGTTGAAATTGTCAAATTGTTGACTCCAGGTTCTCAACTTTGCATAAACCAAGCTGCAAAAACATGTAAAAAGTAGACTAAGATCAACATGGACGCGAAGAAAGCTATAGGATTCCGATTCACCACAAAATTACAAATGAGACAGAATCTTTCCATTTCCTTGATTTCCTCTCTTTCCTTTCACTTGAAATCTCCCAAACAAATGATTTCCAAGTCTTTCCTACCAAATCCTTTCTTCTTCCATTGCTTTCTCTGTATCCAAAGTCCAAAACGCCCTGGTGAGAGATGCTTTGCTGGTTGATTGAACCCATCATTTTCTTAGATCAGATGAGCCCAATGTGTCAATCTCACCATTGGCTTGAGAATGCTTACAGCCCATTAGGCCCAAAATATTACCCCATAAGAATGACATGATCCGATATTTATTACCTTATACTTTTTTTAAGCGTAAATGAGAGGTCTCGATATTTATTACATTATCTATATATATATATATATATATATATAGTTTTTTTTTTACTTTATACTTAATTACAAGTAACCAAACAAGATAAAATTAAATTGCGTTCTGCTTCCAATAATTTGACAAGCAAGGATGCAAGTGATTTTCTTTTCGAACACTCACTTGGTTTGGATAGAGTGTTATTTAAAATATTATTTGGAATAATTACTGTAGCACTTTTTGTGATGTGATTTATGTGAGATAAAAAATTGGTTGGGAATATAAAAAGATGAGTTGGGAAATGTGTTTATGATGCAAGCGAAATATTATTTAGAATAATATTGGTATCCAAAAGTCAGTACCATCTTGCTATGGAAATCTAGGCTTTTTCTTTTGTCAATCCAAAACTTCGTGGTCTCAAGTTGATTGCTAAAGAAAGAAAGTTTTCGGAAATAAGAAGGGCTTTCTTAAGCTACATATTACGAGCACCAGAACAGCGGTGATAAACTACATGTTAAACAGGTAAATCTACACCATTTTCCTGCATGCTCAAACAGCTGTAGTGAGGAAGAAAACAGGAAGGATAAAAGAAAGAAAAAAAAAAACCTCATGCTTTGCTAATGCTAGCTTGTATCCATCATAAACCCAATACAACGCGGTTTCCAGCTTCCAAAACAAACTTATACTCCTGATTCCTAGTGGTTGAATGTAATGGCAGACAGAAAGTAATTAGGTAGTCTCATAAGTTTTGCTCATTTTCTTTGTCAACATTTGAACAGACTCTGCAATGGTTGCTTGCTAACAATAATTAAATACGACTTCTGACATGAGTTTGGAATTAAGATGCATGGAATAAAATCGATATATTACGTAAAATTTGCGCAATTAATTTTCATTTTTTTTCCCTTTGGGAAGGTGGGTGTTTTTTTTGTTTTCTTCTGATTTGGAGTTACAATATAATGGCAGTGGTTGCCGACAAGTGTAGCAGGTAACTAAATTAATTGTAATGGCCAACTAGCTAGTCCTGTAAGTTATACGTCAAATCCAAATCAAGCAAAGCATTAAAAAAAAAAAAAAATCAAATAATTCATATTTAGTTTTCTCTGAAAAATTAGAAATTTCGACGTAGAATCATCATCATTTCGTCGTACTAGCATTCAATCTTTCTTTTTCTAAAAAAAAAAAAAAAAAAGTTTATCCAGTTACATCTAAAAATTTACTCCATTATCCTTTTATTTGAGGGAGAAGGAGCCTCTACAATTACTAGTAATGATTTTTTTTTTTTTTTTTAGATTTTGTTCAAGTGTAAGTAGAAGGTGTCAGACCCTGAATCTCTCACTTACACGTTCTCGTCCCTACTACTCAACCCATCTTTTTCTCCTAATAATGATTAATTATTTTTCCATTTGAATTTGACCGCCTATTTTTGGTGTCGTCTTGGATATATTAAATTATTCATTTGCGTACTAAAACATTACTACATTCATACATGTTCTGATGTTTAATTTTCATCTAATGAATCATATGATGGTACAACATTTGTCACCCCCCAAGTGTCCGTTATCAGTATCCCATTTGCAGACGAAAAACATAATCCACAGGCAAAAATAGTGAAATACTCAGTCAAAACAAAGACAAAAGGAAAGACGAGAGCCCAAAAAAAAAAAAAAAAGGTTAGATGAGTCGGATAAAACATAAGCGGTTTCAAACGCTCGACAAGAGAATCCAACAGTAATAAATGTACACGGGTTGGTGAGCTGTGGTCCCTGGTGAAAATTTGTTGGATTTGGTTTCGTAGTCCACAGCGGCCGGCGGCCCCGGCAGCCGTGCATGGCTGGGCGGCAACGTATGCAAGTGAAGCAGCAATAGGTGGTGTTGAGTTGAGGGGAATCCTATGACTTTTTATCCTTGTTTTGGTACTAGAAAGAATGCAATTATTATGTTTTCCGGACCACAAGGTTTAGGCAGATGGTGAGTGTTCTGTTGGATAGCAAGGATTGGCTAAAACTTGCACGTTATTACTTGCTTTGGATCTATTGTGCATCAATGCCTTGAGCTACTAGTGTTGAATCAACCACTGGGCTAATGGCTCGTGGCCACCAGGAGTTAGGTCCCTGAGTTGGTTTCAAACGTTGTCGATTTTTGGAGTTCAATCTGAAATTCGATTTAATTAATTCAACGAAAAGTCATTACTGGAGTTGAAACTAACAAAATGATTTGGACTTCTTATTGGCCGGCAAGTGCCTAATCGCAAAGAAATAATTCTAAAAACTGCATTTGTCCCTAACAGATGATGAGCCCACTGCGTTCACTCGTAGCGTTAGGAAGAACGGGCAACGAGTGATAGAAATTAGAATCAATGGGCTGATGAAAAGTTGACCAATTGTAGTGGTAATATATTAAGTAATTGATAGTAGTAGTTGTAGAATGAGTTAATTAACGGACGACAAGTTCTGACAATTAGGTTTCGTTTGATAATTATGCTATTTACAGTAAGAAACACGGCACTTGTGTACAGTGATGGTTGGTGAAGACTTGAAATCAGGAGGGTAAAAAAAAAAAAAAAGAAAGAAAAAAATCGTGCCAAATATTTCTACTGTTTTCAGAGAGGCACAAAAGTTAAAAAGACAGTAACATGTCATTCAGCAATTTGGCAGTAACTTGAAGGAATGTGTCAGTTTTACAGGAAGAGAAGTATGAAATGATGCAAGTCACGGACCAGTTGGTACTTTACTGGCAATGATGACTGGTTTGTCTGCAAGCAAAGAGGAGCCAAGTACCATCTAAGATACCATTTCTAGATTTGGTTGAGGTCCTACTGGTAATAAATACAATAATACCTTCTTGTCATTTTCTGTCTTTCTAGTTTAGATTTATTAATCACAATTTCAATATCATAAATTCTACTACTAATCACTTCTAAAAGCATCTAATTTTGAAATGGACACAGGAAGTATTTAAGAGTACGTCTGGATAGCTATTATTTTTGCAAAAAAAAAAAAAA